CAGAAACTTGGTTAATTAATTATAAAAATTACATTTACTTAAATTAGTCATCATAAACAAGGCATATATGCCCCTATTTCAAAAATTTATCCCTACTTTATTAATGCAAAGGTACTGATATAACTATGACTAAACGATAAGAATGTACTTTTCATTATTGCTGGATCCGATTGCTTGTTTTTTATATTGAAAGTAACGTACGTCATTTCATGTGTCACTTGTACTTCCAAATGAAATATAGAATAAATAAAATATTCTTTTATATTTACTAGGATCAAAAAGTCATCAAGTTGTTCCTGTAATGACCCTACTATATCCTGCTATCATCTTAATTGATGCCATTCGATTTTTTCGCCATTATGGTATCATTAAGAAGCATCCATTTTAGTATGGTATTTACTCATCCTTGAAAAATTTTATCGATAATATCATAATTATTCTGATTTAATCAATGGCTTCAATTTGCTTGCATGTAGTCCGTCACAGATATTATTTAAGTGAGATAAACAACTGCATTAAAACTTAAATTAAGGAAAAATTAGTTGTAACCTAATTTATATGAAATTATCATCACCACGACTCTACAAGGCTAATAATTTTTAAACTTAAAACTCAATTTTTTCTTTACATCATTTATCAGAGCCATTATCTTTATTGATAGAACTCAATGATCATATGAAAAGTTCTACCTATCTTTCATTATAAATAATAATCAAAAATCTTTAACTACAACTGGTGCCTTTTCAAAATCATTCAATAAAAAAACAACATATAGCAAAATTATAATACAATCTGGACGGGTGTAAATTGATTACTGGAAATACTATTGATGATTCCGATAAGACTATTTACTTTATATTGATTGTTATGTCAATAAGATCAATTAAATTATAACTATTAAAATCAGAACAATACTCTTTCTAATGCAACATATTTAACAATATTCAATCACTGGCTTGAGTCGACTCTTTCTAGTGTTACGTCACCAGCTTAGCTAAACTATTTTACATCATTTATTTGCTTTTGCATGGTGATTTAGTTTAATTCCATGATAAGATCATCAATTACAGTGTGCGGTACCTAGTCCAGTAATTGGTTACTTAGAGGAACATTTACACTATTGTAGAATTCAACGGACCACTTGTTCCTAATCATTGGACGATCCAGTTTAAATAACGATATATAATATTGACAGTTCTAGGGTTATTCTGTCACGTTTTTAGTTTGAGATTTTCAGCCAGACCATGCCTAAAAGATAAAAATGTCCAGCAATCGATTGAATATCTACCTAGCAATTTTAATTACTACTTTTCTAATTTATTCAACTGGTTATGGTAAGCAAGGCAATAATTTACGACAATTCTATTAGTAGTCTATCATGTCCGAATAGACAACGATTAGCTCTACATCGATGCAAATGCTAGTTGGCACGTACGAAAAGGATCATCATAAATTACTCAAATGGAAGAATCACTTTAGAATAATATCAATGTAAGTAGACTAATCTTACAACAATTTTTTCATTTTCTGGCTATTTAGTGCTTAGTTAGAACTATAAGGGGACAGCTCAATATCATTACAGGACGTTCTCATGTACAGTCCTGCCCTTTTGTAGTACCAAACCTGGTAATAATGTTTATCCTAGTTATGGACCGATTTTGGCTAGTTTGGTCTACTCTTGGAATAAATCAGTACTTTTATTTTTCAATTTATACGATACAACATTTAGTCCATAATGCTGCTTTCTTATCATCACATAATCATAACTACTAGCTTTAAGTGCGGATAGGGTATAAGCAACTGCTCTTAGTCGAAAATTTTTTACGAATGATATTTTACTTATTAAGTACTATGCAAAGTAATTTCATTCTAGTAAGCAGAAATTTCAGTTAATCACTGGATGGCGTCTGCTTACCAATAATTAATTAATCCGTATTTGTACTTAAACTAACGAACAAGACAGACGGTATATTTGTATAACTGTAGATAATGTACGCAAGCCAAAGCGGAACTCGACAATGACTTAATCATGTCATACCATCATAAATAAAATAAATTAAAGCAATAGTAGCTGCGTCATCACTTCTAGAAAATAGCTCCAATAGGGCAATATGGTGTAGACAATTAGTTTCAATAACATGATTATTGTCGATAAAACTTTTAAATTGTCCTCAATATGAGTCATTAAGACCGGTTAAGATAATTTCGTCGTTGCTGGTCAGTCTAGGTTAGCAAAAATGAAAATAATTTACTGCAAAGTTCTTTCGCTTCAGGACTTGAATCCAAGATTCTTTATCAAGTAATCGGAATGAACTTTTCAAAAACAATCAGTAATATTTTGCCTTACTGGCTGAATTTTCAGCAATTTACTGTAAAAAGGAGTGAACAGGAACGACTTGACTTGACTCAAGATTTATTATCTCACGAAAATAGTACAATCTGTGTTAGATTAAAAATCTAGAACAATTATCAATTGGAACAGCCAATAGCGGGCGTTATTTAGTGTTGTAAAAGAAGCCCTCGCTTTATTTCTCCTTCAACTTGCTTTGATCCATGGAAATAATCATAAAAGATAAATTGTTCTATTTTTACTGACCTGAAAGAAACTATGGTTATGTTTATAACCATGATTGCTGATACATCCGATATACAGTATTAAAACTCAATTATATCCGTTAGTTTTGTAATATTTTTCGCCTAAAAAATGATATCCTTAAGATCATCATTCGATTAGCAGCTTAATAAATTGTAGCAAGTGCTATTATCTTAGCATGTAATTTGATACCATGGCTTCTTAACTAGTTGTTTAACTTAAATTATGTACAATTTCATTTTCTTTGTCGAGGCCTTTCTCAAGTTGCTATCCGTATAATAGAATAAGATCGCATAATTTTTAGCCCCAGAGTGATACAGATATAACTGTATACTATAATGACGAGATGATTAGATACCATAGCTTTTGATTTGATGTGCTTGCTAATTCAACAGTCTCTCAAGTATCGACGTTTTTAATGTTACGTAGCGTTCCTTATCGCAATATAATAATTAGGTACTGTAGCTCTTCCATATACATCAAGATGGTTTAAAAATTTATGGTAGCGACTTATTGATTAAGGAGATCGTATAGCTTTTATTAGTCACGGGTAGTAAATGTTTTGAGATTAATCCCTCCAGTAACGCCATCAATGATTCATTTGAACAATTTATCGTTTATTATTCGTATTTTAGAAACTGAGAATATAGAACTAATGTATCTCTTTTAGCTTTGAAACAATTTGAAATATCGAATTCAAATTAAATGTCAGTTACTAATTTTAAGGGTTGATAGGCCGCAATCTATTACGCGTAGATACCAGAAACAAATCTTCAACTACGATGGTCATACAGATATTTCATTATGAAATGTCACTTCAAAATATAAATTGATCATATTATTACGCATCCCTAGTATCCTTTTTACAGTAGTACATCTTTTTTCTACATTACGTTAGAAGAAAACCTATTTTTGTAAGCTCAAAGCTATCTTCCATTGACTTTAGTTCAAGTTTATTGATCGCTGTTAGTTTGCAGTGATCCTATAATTTTCTAAGATTATCATCGTACTTTCCCTAGTGGGTAAGCGATTACATCCTTCATCAATTCCAACATTTTATTGCTAGTAAACTATTTACAGAATACATTTGTATATCAAAAATTTCGGATAGATCCTAATCTGAGAAGGCTGAATTCCAAAACAACTTAACATTAAGAACAAGCAGAATATTTATTTAAACGATATAAATTGGAAGATTTCGAAAGCCGCATGATTATCTACGAATTTACTAATACCTACACGTTCTTAATATGTATAAATGCAAGAATTAAAACGATAGATAATACACTCCATTTAGTGGTTTTGTACTATTAAAGTAACAATTATAATTAAATGAATGCTAATTCTGAATGTACACTGTATACTTTATCGTACTTAGTTAAACCTTGAACAGACGCATTTTCTGATTGAAATAAACCAAACTTAACGTAACCATGCACTTTCTTTTGATCTATTATAATAATTGGTTACTTTCAGATGAATTTAAATCCTAGTCTTGTCGAATAGCATTAAGAAACCATGTAACGGATGGTTTATCGGCATATCACGTTAGTAAGTAGTCATCCATATCTGGAAGGAAATAGAAATGCCTCTATAACTACCTAAAAACATAAAATATAACAATTTCATATTTGTAAATATTTCATATTTGAACATTTAGCTGTAAAATTATGGGCAACTTCATTGCTATTAATTGCTGTATTAAACTTTTATCTAGGCGTTAGCGGAGCCATGTTATAGAAAATGAATAATCCTATTTTTAAGTCCGGCTAGCATTTGTATCGCTAAAATTTTCAATGATTAGCCTCAAAGTATTTCTAAAATTACGATTACGCTAGTAATTCTCGCATTATAATATCTCTAATGGCAATGTTCCAACTCATTTATGCACGCAAAATAGTTTGCCGCAGTTATTCATAAAATTTTATCATTAGCCCACGGATATACGTATTCTGCGTATGATATGATAAAAGTGGTTAATTGGTGATGTTATATCGAAATTAGAATACATTCCCTCTATTCTTATATATGAAATAAACATTAATTTACCATCCTTAACTATATACATTACGGCTTAGAATAAGATAAGTAATACAAATTACAGATGACATGAATAGGCATTTGCTTATGCGTAAACGTCAGCTACATTAATCCTCCCAGCTTCTCGTATACAGTATTCTTACTGTACATGAACAATGATTTATCTTACGTCAATTTAGTTCGATAATATAATTTTACCTAGAAGTAGGTAAGTTCTGATGATTTCTGCTGCCATTTATCATATAATTAATCACAGCTAGGATAGTCTAACCGCTTTTATCCATTTTCTTACGATATTTATCATTAAATATTACAGCAAGTTTGATTTCTTTCTCATTATTTCCGCTATTATCAATATTTATGAATAATGGCGTCGGTAACCATCTATTCTGTTACCAATTATAACTGTAAATTTGATAATTTTAATTATTTCCTTACGCTACTTTGCTGTTAAATGTTGTTTTCGTTAATTTCCATCTAAGCTCAAAAGCGTCCAATTTTACAAATTGCTTACTTCTATATATGAATTTTTACTTCTACTAGGGAAAGAAATTAAGCCCGAAAATCACCCAATTAAAAAAGATAGCTTTAATATATCCTCTATTTACGATTTTTTAGGTTATTTTTAATACAAATTATTTATTTTATGCAATTCTGAAGCAATTACTATTGGTTTTTATATCTGCTATATATTAAATTAATGTTATACTCTTAGTTTCTCCAGCGACTGTACTTAATTGTAATTTTGACGAAGACCTGTGTGGTTGGCGCCAACCTCAAAACATCGATTATTTCGATTGGAAAAGAAGAAGCGGCCCAACACCTAGCCATAGTACTGGGCCAGAAACTGATCACACATCTAAAAATGGTCAGTATCGATAGCAGAGATCAAATCGTATCTTAGAGTTATGGGACATAAAATTTAAGGAAGATAAGACTAGTATAGTATTTATTAAAGTACATTAAGCGCCATTCATAATGTCTTTTAATACGCTCCATGAGATAAAGAAAAGATTTTCACGAAACATTAATGAATTATCTAACTGTCGTTTCTGCCTCGGAATAATAGTATACGTTTCTGTAGTTCATATCGATCTATTCATGTTACAGATAGTGGTTACTATCTTTATATTGAAGCTTCAAGCCCTAGAAATAAAGATGAATACGCTGATCTCATCAGCCCACCGTTAACTTTATCTGCCATTGATAGCAGCGTCAAGGTAATAGCATTTTATTTAGATTTTATTTAGAAAATTACCTTCGTAGTAAACCATCAAACTATATATTTTCATAATATTAGTATTTACAAGCTCTCAAATTAGAATTAATTTAATTAAGCATCTCTTATATTGATTCATGACAAAAAAGCTTAATTTACACTTAATAGAAAAACCGTACCCTCAGCTTATTTTACCATATAATTATCATTAAAATAAAAAGTTAAATTTTTGAATATTTTGCTGTATTAAATCCATAGATGTCGTTTTATTATCATGCCCTTGGAACTGGACTAGGAGATTTCTATGTCTATCTCATGTATCCCAGAATTAATAGTACATTTGAAGAAATTTGGCATACGAAGCCACAGTCGTTGAAAGTTTGGAGGCTTGCTTCTTTTATTTTTAATCCGAAATATGCTGATTTTCGTGTAAATAATGTTAGATAACTAGATAAAATCGGCAGACTTGTTTTTTTATTAAAATCTTCACTCCGCAAAAATATATAATTATTGATCATTGTCTCATCATGTGACTAGTGAGTTTTCATATCTGTTTATGTTTTCATGTCCATCATTGCTAAAGTCCCATTCCGGTTTACCATATCACTAATAATATTATTCTCAATAAATTAATCTATTGGTATATTTTAAGCGTTATCTTTATCTATAAATTATAGCTTATACATTAAAATAAATTATTATTTATTGTAAATTAAACTTAGTATTAGTTTGATACGAGTAAATAAATCTCTATAAGAGAAGATAGTGAAACTTAAATTTATATCATTACTCGTAATTTAATATTACTTATAATGATTGCTTTTTTATTTATCTTTCAGGTCATCCTTCGAGGCTTCATTGGTTCTACATTCCTTGGCGATTTCGCAATTGATGACATAAATGTCCATCCGATTGGTAAGCATCGCTTATTAGCTTTTTTAGTTTACCTTATGTTTCTATAAAGTTCTATATTTTTGTATGTAATATAACACGATAAAAATATATTTAAATAATTAATTGAAAGAGAAAGTTGAAAAAGGCTAATAAATGTTTTATTATACTTTATTTACCACCATCAGAAAATAGCTGCTTTTCTGATGTGGGAAATTATTATCGTGGAACTCTAAATACAGCAAATGGATTTCAATGCCAAACATGGAGCTTGGTTAGCTCCACTCCAAATACATATACGCCATCGAAATATCCTGACGCTGACCTAACTTTAAATTATTGTCGCAATCCTACTGAATCTCGAGCAAGACCCTGGTGCTACACTAGTAATTCTGGGCAGTGGCAGTTTTGTAATATTCCTAAATGTCAAGTTCCTGTACTTGCAACTCCATCATTTCCTTTAGGAAGTAATTTTTTCTTTATTTCGTCAATAATTCATGTCTTAGCTTCCTTTAGATAAAATAGCATCATATGCTCTAAAGCTTCGATGCGCTAATATGTGATAATACTAATATCGTCATAATCTCATTTTCCAAGGTGTACTGTGTATGTGAATAAGCACTTTAATACTAGAAGGGCAAGAATTATTTGCCCTACTTTTACTCTGCTGCTACTTCACGTTTAACTAATCATTTCTATTCTAGATAAATATCCTATAGTTATGGTGGATAAAGGTGTATATTTTACCACTACCGGACGAGTTACATTATACTATAATGGACTCTGGGGTACAATTTGCAATTCTGGCATAACGCAAGATACAATCAACGTTATTTGTCGACAGACAGGATCTGGAAACACAGGAACATTTATCAGTAATAACAGCTAGAGTAGCATTAAAATATATATAGCATATCTATGTTTAACATTTATAAATTCAGCTTCGTGTAAACACTAGCAGTTACCCATAAAGTAATAACCTCAACATCGCTGGATGGCTAATCAGATATCCAATAAAGTCCGAGTAACATGAAAATATTTATTCTTTTAGGAGGTAATGTGGAAGGTCAAGGGCCTATCTGGCTGCAAGGACATGATATAAAATGTCCTCCTACTGCAATTGACTTAGCACAATGCACCTTAGGTCCATGGGATGTTAATAACACCTGTACACATGCATACGATTTATACGTAAGCTGTAATCCAAGCCCAATTGTAACATATCAAACTACAGGTAATAGCACCATCTACTCCTTTGGAAAACTATGTTAAAAGTATACAGTAAAGTCGTTACGTTGCTCATTCTAGTGTGATATAATGAATAGAATATGTACGAAACTGTTTTGTAATATGAGCTCCTTAATTTTATTTATTTAGCCAGCACAACTTTAATAGAGACCGTGGCACCACCACTACCAAGAAACAAGTACAAGCTAGCTATCAAAGATGGATTTGACATTACTAGCGGATTCGTCAATGTATTATATAATAAACGTAATGGAGTTATTTGTAGCAAAAATTGGAACATGAATGATGCTGATGTTGTTTGTCGTCAGCTTGGCTTTCTTAACGCACTATCTGCTAACGGTATTTATGTATATCTTGCATTCATATGTAATCAGATATTGTTCACATAGCATGAATGTTTTAGGATCCCAGATTTTAGAGCTAACAGTATAAATTTCTTAATACATAGAAAATTCATCTTCAAGCTATCAATATAAATATATTAAGAAAATTACTTTTCGTTAAATTTCAGCTAGTATAACGCAATATGCAATACGCCACGAATGGATTACCGAATTAAATTGTAAAGGTTACGAATCAACCATCGATGCCTGCCCTATTCAAGATAGCTCCGTTATCAGAAACTGCTCAACTACTGACATAGCAACTATTTCCTGTAATCAGGAGAAACAGCAATTCAGTAAGCTTATTTTCTGTCGGTTTCCTTATAACAACTAATTATAATCACGTATGATTCTGAATAAACTAATGAAATAAAAATTTTATAGCAAGCAGAAATAGACCAACTTACTGCATATATGATGATGGCTTTTGTGGATGGAAAATTAGCGGTAATATGAGTTGGATCTGGCATTCAGCCACCGGAAATCACTATCATCCTATAGCTGGTGGTGAGTATCTGCCAGATAAAGATAATTGCAGTCTATCAATTTTTACATAATGTTGAATAATTTACACCATATTTTAAGATATTAAAACAATCCTTTTATCGTCCATAATTATTTTTGCTAGCTATTTCATATGCATATGTCATCCGTCCATATCATCAAACATCAATGGGGAAAGCTGTTATGACTAGTCCAGTACTAACAGCAAGATCTGGTCAAGTCGTTGAGGTTTATAAATTTATGACTCCCCTGAAATTATAAAAATCAAAAATCAAGAGCAGATTTTTTCCCCGTTTTAGATCTCATTCCGCTATTACATTGTCAATTTGGCTGTTAGCAATCTTGAAATTCGATATAATGAAGATGGAAATACTGGTATTACTATCTTTGATAATCAAATTAATACTTCAAATAAGTGGACACAAATGAAAACTACAGGATTTACACCTAAAGGCAATCATTTTCGGGTATATGTTTATCTAATCTAATAAAACGCAAATTTGCTTTGTTGCACGTTAGCTTATGATACGAACATTCCTACATAGTAGAAAGAAATTAATGTATTAAACTTCTTCTAGTTAAAAATCATTTATAGTGCAAGCAGAACATTTGGGCCATCGTTTGTTAGTATATTAGCCATCGATGATACAGTCATCACAGGCGTCGAAAACGACGGCTGTAAGTCTCTTTAAAATTAATAATTAAAATATTTATATATTTTCTTGAAATACTTATGCATAATGCATGGTATGCATTTAAAGCCTTCTAACTAATGATTATATTTACAAACGATAATCTTAATATATGTTCGTAGATCAATCTAATGATATTTCCATCATTGGAGCAGCTGTGGCAGGTGGATTAGCATGCATAATCTTTCTAATGGTAGCCATTTGCTACTACAAAAAGTCTAAAACAAAAATAATCAGGGACGTTTCAGTCCCAAATGAATATGTCGCATCTACTAGCCGACAAATAAGAAATTTTCAACGAGCAAATTCTGAATTACTTATCAATAATCAACTACCTCGTACGCCTGTAAATTCGAACATATCCGATAGCAATACTGCTATTTCCCCGGTGGTAGTACGGACACCTTCAGTAACGCTATCAGGTATTTTCAATATATTTTTGATCACATTTATAGTTAAACGTGCTCGAGCAACAGATACTGCCTTATTGTTCGCTTTTATCATGTTGAGAAAGATTTACATATAATAGCTAACATTTACAATTGTAGTTACATCTCCGATGTCAGATCATCAATCGAGAAGTGAAGATCGCTTTTCAGGTATAAATTAAATTAGTGAAAAAATTATTATTAATGGTAAAGCTAACTTTTACGTACGATCTAGAGACAGTTTGCAATGATTAATTCAAATTTAGATGTTACAGTTACATCTTCCATTGAAGATGGACAACAAAGTCGAATTGGCATTGCTCTAAGCCCTAAACGCAGAGATATAATCTGTAAGTTAAATATCGGACATGTAAATTGAAATAATTTTCGTATTAGCTATTTTCTGTTATACGTAAATAGTAGTATTTGCTTTATTACTCTTTTTCTTTGCTATGCAATATAATTACAATTACTAAAACGGTAGTAATAGTGATGACTATATCGAAATAACTTTGAAGTACAGATTATTTAAATATCAAAATTTGTTTTGTTTTAGCCTCCGTGGTATAAAGCGTTAGGAACCTTCATTTTACACAATGCAACAATTTTCCGGAATTAAAGTAGACATCGCCTAATCATATTGACAATTCCAATAAACGGAGAGAAACTTTATAGAAATAGAAGAAAGCTCTTAACAGAAACGTAAAAAGATATCAATAACGGAAGTAAACTAGTTAATAAAGAAATATCTTGTAGTATATTTATTTTTTATAAAGAAATATTATTTATAAGATAATACACGTTTGTGGTATTTAAAAACTTTAAATACTAGCACCTTGGAGAGATTCATTAGAATTAATCGATTATATTTAATATGAATTAATTAAACATAGATATCGATAATTTATCCGTAATTTTTATACACCATTTAAAGCTTATAAGAAAAGATATACAAGTGCACATGACTTTATAGTGTACCAGTTTAGAAAAAAAATTCGACTTATTTATGTAAATAACAGTTGATGCGTACTGGAGGTTGCTATTCTGCGTATCGACTTTTTCTGGGTTTATATCTATTGTCTATACATACTACTATCGAGAATTTATTTGTTGTTAAGCTAATGAAATAACCACTTTAACTCGTACGACTTTATCAGTGGTTTTATCTTACATGTTTTGTTAAATAATTACAAGCTATACTTTTTTATGTAAAAATTACTTCGATTTCTAAATTTAAGGTTACTCATTAAGTGCAAAATATCAACATTTTACAAGTGAATAAATAATGGCAGATGTATATTCTCTCATATTTCAATCCTTTAGTATAATACAAACTTGTTTAAGTTGTCATTTCGATAATTTACTAAAATTTTACGAATATTGAAATGAAATTCTAGATGTCTGCATAGTAAGCAATGAAAGTAAAAAAATAGGTGAAGATTATCTGTTTTATATTTAATGTCGTGATATACTGAAACTTGAGCAATCCTTTTGTTGAAGCAACAGAATGCATGGAAGTCGTATGATTTTATTAACATACAAACACATACTCTGGTAATCAAAATTAATAAATTTAGGGAGGATACAGTTTTAGATAACTTAAGATTGCTAAATTTGCTAAAGGAATACTTTTAGTTTTGGTGATGGCGAAAATAATGTAGCATTTTAAAATGAATGAAATATCGAAGGTTCTACCTCCAAAAAAGATGCTGTACATGGTTATATACTGGTATTCTATAGAGAATTAACAAAGTTACCTAACTAATAAACTAACTTATTACCCCATTAATAAGCAATTCTTATATTACTATAATGACTAACACAATTTACTTTATGCTCTGATTTTTCGTATGATCATCCCAAATTTGTGAGATTGACTTAGATCTTGTTTACTAACACAAATAGTTTATAGTTATCTTGGCATTTGTACTCTAGAATATAAAATCTTCATTTACAGTTATGGTTATAGGCTATTAAATATACCTTATAATAAACTTGGTAAACTACTCTAATACCGTGCCTAATTATGTTGCAAGGATAGAATATATTATCGTAATATTCAATATACATTACTAAACGCTTTATAATGCTAAACTTTCCGGCAACAGCCATACCCAATTTGATTCCGATTTTCTAGGCCCTAATACAGTTTATGATATCTTACAGCAGATTCCATATAAAATATATATGGTCATGCTACCCAACAGTTTCTGAATAAACTAGTACAAACTCGCGTCGCTTTGCTGACGGTTTACGATAATGTACTTATTTGTTAATAATTAACAGATATTGTATTACCATTCGACATTATTTATATCCCGGTAATAGCCAGGCACTGCTATATTCACAGCTATGCTTGTAGAATACTACTTTTCAATAATGCATTCACGGATGAAATGCTATATTAAGATTAGTTAATGGTCCAAAGCACATTATGATAACTAATGTACGGTGATGGATATACCAAGTTAAGATTAGCAGGTACTGTAAGATATCTACAGTGCGGTACAATCTCCTTCGTACTGTGGTCAATTCTATACCAATCATTATAATGTGTCTAAGGATTGCTTGAGTATCCAAGCAAAGCTTGCTCTGTCAATAGCAACCGTTATAAGAAAATATAATAATCAAAATGGCTGTGTAGAAAATTCTATTAAGATTCTATATTTATTCAATTTTCGTCAGAATATTACATGAAATCAAACTTGAAAGGCCCAGTGGCCACCCTTAGCGATATAACCAATACTATTTTAAAAATCAGTACTCTGCAGAAATTACTACCTTAGAGCTATTCGTTTTACATGAAGAAATTTTGAGATAAAAAGTACTATCATCTATATAGAAGATATATAATGTTCGAAATGTCATCAGATAAGAAACCAAATAGAAATCTCGAGTAAGAACAGCTCTTATTTTAAATTATCTTGCCAGACAGTGCTTACTAGTTTAGCAATCGATCGCTTAGATTCCTTCATAAACTAAGTTGTCTTGACTTATACATCTATGATTCTATTCTAAATGTAATGCACTATATCAGTATGATTACACACATACTGCCTTACCAAAGGATCTGTTAAAGAAATAACGCCCTAGATGCTTATACCAATATCCAATGAGCTAATAGCTAACCATTCGTTAATTTTTTGACTGCTTCTTCATATTTAATTGCATCATCTAATTTACTATCATTACTAGATTGGTGATGAAATTAGATCTACAATGGCAAAATATTGATAAGATTTAACTAAATTTCTATAATTAACTCCCTTTCTATCGTTTCTATTCAAAGATTTTCTCTTAGTAAAATTAGTTAATTGGAGTAAGTTGGACAATTTATAGCTTTGTAATATTTTCGAGTAATTGTGTAAATAGCTACCTAGCAAACACTCTTGATGGGAATTTTTTTCAACACCACCTACTTTATGATAGGTATCAATAATTATAGTGAGACTATCTATTACGGTACCTTAATTCTATTTAATTAATTATCATGACAAAAAAATTGTTATAGTTTCCATAGTACTGTGAACGCCCGCTATTCAAGTCTAAATACAATAATTGGATAGAAATCCAAATATAGGACCAGTAACTATGAAAACGCCTTTCAATATGAAAACAAAATTATTTTAGACGGTATATTTCTTTGTAACGTGGCACGGCTAAGTTTTATTCTCTAGTCCGTCGAGCTAAACCCACTCAGTTTTCTCTTAATTCTTCCTAGCTAAACTTGATCAATATGACAAGTAAAATATGCACATTAGGAATTTTCACACTAGTTCTTGTCGAAATTCTATGTTCGTCGACTTATGCAAACCAAGATAGTATTGAAATTCAAGAATCTACTTCCTCATGTCTAGAAAACTGTCAATGTCGAGATTCCGAAATTCGTTGTGAAGGCTTTCCCTCTGATATTCATCGGATACCTGAAGGAGTGAAACGAATGTACGTAAATTAATATTAATTATATTATTGAAACAGATTTAACGTTGATTATATTTTAACTTGTATCAATATCTATAAGTTATGAATTCACTCTTTAGATGCATGTAAGTTTTGAGAATTTACTTTAAATTCTATATAGCTGTTTTCTTCTTAACGCCTAGCGTGTAAAACGCCTCCTTCTGAAAGGCTTCAACAGTAAAATATCTGGCATAAGTCATTAATCATAATTTCAGTTGGTTGTATTAAAAATTCAATTTTTCATCATCTCAAATCAGTAGCTTTGCTATAGTTTGTGTTCAGCTTTGCTATATGATGCATAAAATAAAGATTTATCAGTCAGTATTCTGTGCGTGAGAGGCTGATCACTATCGACGATTCACCTTAGACAAACTGAAGCTTTCCTGAGTAGTGAACTCTAAATAATATAATTAAAAATCGTGACTTTACAAAACAAACTTATTATTAATTTTTGAGCTAGCCTAAAGAGTTTTCGTAATTTCGACAGTTTGATAGTTTTTTTAGGTAAAGTAGAGCCCAAATATATCCAAGACTAAGATTGTTAGATTGTATATAGGTAACATAATATATTTAGATGAACTGTTTGGTTTGTAAAATTCATTATATAAACCTTGTTAAAAAATTTGGGGATAATATTAATAGAGTTTTTCAAAAAGCTATTTCTTGCGAAGAAGAAAATCTACAACGGTTGCACAAGTTAATCGTGTTAACAAATATAGAATTAATCGGCCAATGCAATTGCCCTGAACATCTCGCCGGACATGACTTGAAAGATGTTAATGAGCTAAGATCGAACTCTTTGGAGCTTCATCGTCACGAAAGATCAGGTAATAAATAAGAAGATATACACTTCTAAAGATTGTTATTACGCCAGTGAAGTACCCGAACTGTAGTTTTGTTTCATTTTAATTTTAATGGGAGTAATCCAATGTTGATTACAGATAAATGTGGTAAATATGTAAAATTTTAGCATAAGAAGTTATCTTACTCATTCTACTTTAACAAAAACATACAAATTACTATTGTAGTTAATAGAAGAAGCATCATTAATAGTCAATACGCTTTGTCACTCGATAAAACATGGAATTCGACTTCGGGCTACGTATCTGTTCAATATAAGGGAAGAACTGGCGTTATATGTGAAAGTCTTTGGTATTTAGAAAATGCAGACGTAATTTGCCGCCAAATAGGATACATTGGCGCCTTCTCGGGAGCATGTAAGTCAAACTATTTTAGTATTAAATTAAAAATCGTAATCTTGATTGGTAATGTTTAAGCCTAACTAGGAAATGTTTAGAATTGCCTTAATTGATTTGCACACATTTAATCTGCACTCTCATCTTATATAGACGGACCTGGATCACCTCGATCGCAAGCAACTTTAATTCACGATCTTAGCTGCAATGGTTATGAAACGGTAGTCGACCAGTGCAGGATATCCCGATCTTCATATACCTGTAGGGAAATTTATGTTCGAGGTGTATCATGTAATCCTGGTCAAACAGCTGCCGATTACGGTATGTAAGCTAAAAAATAAAAGCAGGCTCCGTGATATTTCATTAACATTTTAGGATTATTTTCCATTATCTAATTTGTATCAATAACGTAACATAAAAACTGATATAGCCGCACTATATAATACTTCTATTAAACCAACACATTCTTAGATAGCAGAAATCGTCCCGATTACTGTACCTTTGAAAAAGGATTCTGTGGGTGGTCAAATCAGGCTACACCTGGTTTTATACATCATCCCGGTGATGGTAGACATTATAATCCATCGTACTCATGTATGTATGATATTTAATGACAATAAATTGGATTAACAAGTAGCACAGTATAACCAGAGATAACATTTAAGTCAAATGGCCATCCGATATAATTTCTGAAGATTCAAATCATTAAGATCATGAAATATTTATTCTTATTCTAGATAGAAACTATATTTACGCCATAAGACCACGTAACAGCTTAATCAAAGTTAATGCTGAGCTAATTAGTCCACCTTTTGAACGACACAGTACTTCATCATCATACGTAGGTTTTGATAAAATTTTTTAAAGAACTTATTTCATTTTATTAACTAAAATACAAGACGAATGTCCAAAGATTTAGTGTGAAATATTGATGGTTTTTAGGTCACTTATGTATATGATGTAAATGGGTCAAGAATGAATAAGCTTCTCATTAGCTACAGAGCAAGTTACGGGAGCGATACAACGATAGAATCCAAATCGTTTTCTTCTTCTACTGCAGGTTGGAGTAGTGGACTATCTTCATCTTTCAGACCCAATGGAGTATTTACTGTAAGTACATGTCAACAATAATGTTTAATTTGCTATAAAGCTTTACTGTCGTTTCTACCGTTTGTGCAAATTGAACGCATTGACATAAGGTACTATAATTCTTATGGCCTACATATGAATTACATAGCTGGTTGATTATTTGTTACGTTAATGAAACCGAGCACTAATTTTACTCATTTCACAAAATAGCAAAATCGATTAAAGATAAGTTAAAATTGTAAGCTTTGCTACATAATGAACATTATAATAGTTAGTGCAGCGTCTATTTCACTTAGTGATCTACTTACTACACTCAATGCAGTGCCGTACTTATTTAAGAATATCTTAACATCCGTAGACAATATCTTCTTTAGAAATATAAGAAGATCTAAAAGCAGAGCTAACTTAACGTCATTTGACACTTTCTAAGGAGTTCCCTAACCAAATTTTAGTATCTAATGTTAAATAGTTATATTATAAGTCGTGCCGTACTGAAGGCAATAATTTTTTACTTCATACAATAGCATCTGAGTCGCTCGCCAATGATTTAGCTTATAATTTCTTAAAAGCCCAATCAAATAGGACAATCTATCCTAACAAAGTCCTTTTAAGCCAGTAGAAATATCATATATTAAATCAACAGTCCATTGAATTGCTATCGTATATCCGATGGTGAAAATTGATTTTTCAGCTACAGAATCAAACCCTAATCTTATCATTCTAAGAATTCCTCGATATACGCATAAATCCTTAATTGAAGGCTTATTTTTGTTCACGGATTCATACACCTAAGAGCTCATCATCTAATTTATATATCAAGAGCAAGTTATGTCATTACTAATGTTATTTTTATACTGCTTTCGCGGAAATATCTCTATTAATTCGATACTATCGCTAGTATGCTACAAGATCAAAATTTAAAGTATTATCATATATTACTACATATCTCAGCATCTCAATTAATTATTAATAATTATTTTTCATCTTTATCAGCTGTCACAAGTTAGCTCTTTGACAGGATAATAACAAAAGTAAATCTACAAATTTTTCCCAGAACTACAGTCAGGGCGCTAAAATCTGTCTTAGAAATACTTAGAAAGACTCGACTATAATTCTGTAGATTCTCAGTAATTTGGACGCGTTGAACTTTACGTTAGGCACTAGACTTAAGAACTAACTTCATCATATAGATGCAGGGCTTCTATACCTTTCGAGAGATATAAGTTATAATAAGTATCATTAGCGCTTATAAATTAGGTAATTAATTTACATCTAAATGCGTAGTTAATATGGGAATATTGTATCTGATGACTAACCATAAGACAGATAGATTATAATACATCCATTCATAGAACCATTAAATCATAATATGCAACCTATTCTTAACTATTCATAATCACTTATTACTGCTAAGGACGTCAGCAGTCTGAACTATTTCGTAATCTAAATAAAACTATGGTACTAAGTATCGCTATTTACGATAAGATAACACCATAACATCAGCGTTACTACTTACTGCTATTAAAATTATGCATTATCTTTTTCTTATTTTCTAAAGGTCAAACTTACTTGCAGATCAGATTACAGTTCTAGCTATATCTACAGTGCTTCCATTTCAATCAGATCAATTATTGTCCATAACGTCAAAGTTACTAATGGTGAGCTCCTTGCATTACTCGCCTTACAATCGTACTATCATAGAGATACATATATTAACTCATGGCTATTAAATGATAAATCTACTTAGACTGACATACTATTAACTATTCTGTAATTATCATTTTGTGCATAGTTCATCTTTATTCCGTTAATATTCCTGGAGTCGTCATTGGCTCCCTCGTTGGCATCGCTGCCGTTATTATACTCACTATCTATATCTATAAAAGATCTCATCGAAGACAAGTTATTCAGTCTACAGTTCCCCAGAGAGGAGGGCTTCCACAATATACACAGACTAACGTAAATTTTATTTCTCAAGCAGCAGCTAACAAGGTTGCAGGTAAGGTTCCCGCTTTTCACTAATAATTGAAAGTACCTGAAAATTTTTAAAACTATGGCATTATTGGACCCGTTATCGTATGAATTTAACAATATCACGGGTAGTCTTTTGTAATAATTATTTATTCTAGCCTTTGATTTACGAACTAAATTAACATAATCCTTACACCGTAACTTATTAATCAGACCCTCCAAGTTACGCAAATGTAACGGCGCAAAGGGCAGGTATGTCCAGTATTTCTAACAATAATTGACGTCCTTATGGACTGTATTAAAAGTTGCAGTAGAAATATGTTGTAATTAGTTAGGAATTGCGAAATATTAAATATAGTATTGCCATTACAGGTGATCAGCCCATTTATTATACCACTAATCCTGCAGCAACACAACCTGTCGTTATAAATCCACAACAGCAAGTATATCCCCCTATGACACAAATAAACCTGGCTAACCAGCAACAAGTAACCCTGGCTACCCAACAAGTACCGCCAATTACTCAACAACAATTAACTCCGACTACTCGACAACATTAAAGTTGTAGTAAATATTGAAGTGTGAGGTAAACATCAGATATATGAATACTGTATACTAATCCTACTTTTAAATTTAAAACATTATATTACGTATGTCAGAACCCATTGATAGCTCGATACTAGAACAATATAGTAGTCAAAATCTCTTTTGTCTTGTATTTTACGGAGAAGCATAATTTTCAATATGACTACAGCACTACAAATAATATCTGCTTGTTTTTTTAAGGTGTTCCTTGGAAATCGTAGAAAAAAGACCAGTACTGATGCCATAGAACTATTAAAAAAAATTTAACTCGAAGAGATTGTGGCAATAAGACATAATTATGGCATTTTCAGAAGCAGCTTTTATTTTACCTTAACAGTCCCATAAAATATACTTTCTTCTTGTGATTTAAATACATAAATGTCAAAAAAATGAAATTAATCAGATGCATATAGCGACTAAAATTAATTTTGCTATTATAGAATATGTTCTATATTACTACTACAATTTGCAGGTTTGCAACATCGAATATTTCATTCTTTGTATTTTATTTCATCCCTACAAATTTGAACAGTAAATTATATGAGACAAAGGATATAATAAACTTTAGCGTTAGCATAAAAGTATTTATCTTGTTCGAGTCTTTTAAACGATATCATAATTATTATCAATTTCGAAATCCCATGAAAAAATCATTTCTACGAGTAGCAATATTACTACATATTTATTATAATTTTATTTATAGTTGCCTTCTGTTAAATTAAATGAGCACTTTTAGACCTTAAGTTCTAACAAATCTTCAAAAAAATAGCGTTTCCATTTTATATTAATACACTTACTTTATGTCATGAAAAGATAATCACATACTTAAATTGAAACCCCATTCACGGAAATTTTGACAATGTCATTGTGAAACATTAAGGCCATAAATATGATAAATATCTTATTAAATTATAACATAGTAATATACAAAGATAGACGATTAGTAGCTTCATGAGATACCGCAACCTAAATTATGTAATATTTAGTATACAGAATATCTGATTGTTAACTATGCTTGCACGTATATTATTACTATGTAATCGTTTTGTAGCATTACACTTTTACACCCATTTATACGCGCAATGCAAACTTCACGAAGTTTCAACGAGTACCCTAAAAGTTACAGGAGCAGAAATACTTGCAATACGTAGTAAAGCCTAATTTTCCTACAGCTATGAAAACATAAGTGCTAATTATAATAACTAGCTCTATTCTGTTAAATACTTCGATATCATCTAGAATACTGAATATGGACAAGCAATGTAATATTTGCTAAGAATTTTTCAGCTGCTCTTGCGAAATGAGATTTTGCTCAGCAACTACTTAATCTTAGCGTCTACCATAAAAGCTTAGTACAACGTCAGCCCATTCCGTTCTTAACCATGAAAATATAATAATTTATAATAACTTTAATGTTATGAGTAATGTATTTGAATTAGGATCGGGAAGGTTAGTCGGAACTCCAACCAATGTCCTGTATAGTCTACACGGTTTGATATACATGTGGTAAATTATCATTACTCTTCAAAAAGTTCGTGCTACCTAAATTATTGCCGTTATATCACATTTAATCACTCTGAGCTAGTAAAGCCAACATTTAAATTACGAATTTAAAAAATAGTATACTACATTCAACTTGCTTCAATTAATTTGGATGACAAACTGTAATACAGAGTGCCATGACTCATTTTTATTTTAATAAGACACTCCGAATAAAAGCTACAATATCTGCTGTAACTATTTAACTTAAATACGAGTTCAGCACAGCCTTAAGATTTCAGTTAATTGACAATCTCGCACATATAGTATAGTCTTACACTTTTGCATATCACTTAGCAATTTCCTACAATCTATTAAGCTATTTTAGGGCTGCACTAAAGGAACGGATTAAACTGTCTTAACCTATCAAAGTAAAAAAATACTGTAAGGAATTATTTACATTGGAAGCTTCCTGTTTCAGCTTATATTCTCGAATTTCTTAACAACTTGACTAGCAAAATCGAATTACACTACTTTTTATGTGCTGCACAAAGCAGATGATAATTTAAACTAAAAAATTATATTATTATTCTAAAATACTCTAAATTAAGCTCGTAATTAGTCTTACAGGTCAAGAAAGAATTATCTTTGACTTTCAATTATTATTAAAATCTTTCATATATTGTAGCAAAATCTAAGGCAGACTAGCAACATAAATTGAAACCTTGATAAAAGATCGAGTTCACATATACTCCATGATAAAGTAGCAATACCGCTAGATAACCACAAACTTTATTTACATGTGTTTATTTATTTAATGTACACCTGACCCTGTAACCGTGTCGCCTTGTTAGGAGATCTGGAATTTCAATTTATAGCCATTTAAGAAATAATTTTTGTAATTAGATAAAAAAATAATAGAAGCAGTATTCTGATAGATAAAAATTAGCATACAGACCTGAAATTATCGATAAATAATAAGCATCATAAAAATGTTCGATTAATAGATACGCCAAATCCTGCAAGCTTTTATATGCTGCCCCTTATCAGTGGGAAGAACTATACTAGCGGTTTGGTGCGTGTCAAGTATGGAAGTAGGTATGGTTAGATATGTTCCAGCGATTGGAATCTCCATGCTGCAGATGTGGTTTGTTGTCAAATTGGACGCATCACTGCTTATACTACTAATCGTAAGTTTTTCATGCTTGATAGCGCCCGTATTAAATTAGTTTCTAATTTTCAACAATTAATATATAGTTACAGTGAATATGTATCCTACAAATCCGGAAGCAATTATTTTTGACATCAGCTGTTATGGACACGAAGCGATTATCGATAGTTGTAATATATCAAGATCTTACTCTAATTGTGCCTCATTCCCTGTTAGCGCTGTTTCTTGTATTCCTAGGCAAAGGAAATACAGTAAGAGATTATTAAACAAAGTCGTTCAATAGCTACACAGATATTGTTTTATTATAACAGATTGATTTAATCACTTTAGAATTTAAGAGCAAAAAAAAGCTATTTCATATCGAAGCAGTATCTTTTAGATATTTAATAACAGTCTGATTCTTACGTTTCAGTTATTTACAACAGGCCTACTTATTGCTCATTTCAATATGGCATGTGCAGCTGGAGTTCTAGTGGACGTTCAACTTGGAATGGGCATCCACAAGACAACAAACACTTTAAGCCTTTTACATACTCAAATTGTAAGCTATCAGACTAGCATGAGCAATGCTGGTACTTCATGTAGCTACCTGTTACAACATTGAGCAACATCCATAATTAATAAACTTTATTGGATTTCATATTTTATAGACTTAGGATTTGTATATGTATGCATATCGAGCACAGGGTAGTACTAGCCCTGTTAAAGCAACTTTAACTAGCCCTCTCATATGCCAAGAATCATATCGAACTCTATATGTATGATGAGAGTAACAAGTATAATATGATGCTAAAATCTTGCTGTTATTCAATCATAAAATGATCACTTAATTTAGCTGTATCTGTCACAATATTTTTGAATGAAATTTGCACAGATTTCCTTGCTATACAGCACCATCGGAAATTCTTATGATTACTTGAAAGTTTTTTATGAGCGCGAACGAGGATCAACGTATACTTTATATAGAAACTTTGGCTTAAGCTCTGGTTCAACTTGGGTGCAAGCATATACTAAAAGCTTTTATTCATATTCTTCGTTCTACGTAAGTTTTATTACTTGGCGTAATCTTACTTCCTATTTAAGAACTATCACGAAAAATATAGCGCTGGTATCTATTATTTTACTAATGGTTGTGTCGCTCACATCCCACTACCTACTCTCCTCTAATGTGAGTGATCAACTAACTTACTAGCTACTTAGTCGCTCCAACTAACTACAGAGAGATACTGTAAGTAAGACTAACAACTTTCTCACAAGTATAATAAGCGGCTTGTTGTAAGATTAGTTTTATGAGTTTTTAATTCTATTCGTACAACGAAAGTATAGTACCTTGTCGTACACTAGAGAAGTGTCAACTGAGCGATATGTTTTCTGCTCGGGCTTATATACAGTCGCCATACTACGCAACAGGATAATACACGAAATAGGAATGGATAGAAACGATATCGAAGGAAAACTTTTGAAGATGTTAGCTTTAAATTTCCTATTTATGATCTATTACTCTAGACTGCTTTTTATACTCCAATATAATTCTACGAACCAAATTAAGTTGTACCCGTTAAGAATTTAAGGCTTAGCCTACATTGAAATGAAATAAAATGTATGTTAAAGTTGTATTTGAATATGGTTTATACAGATAATGGTATTTTAAACTGCAGATTTGTCACCTCTTCATAGCTAAGACTATGGTCATTTCTAAGAATAGATTAAGCAAATCAAATTGGCTATTTGAAATAAAGAGAGCCTATCTTAAAATAACTGTATGTATTTACACTTTATGTCATTAATTTGAAACTAGAGGTCAGGTCCTACTCCAAATTAATCAATAATGTTCACAACATCTTCATGGCAATCTCACCTATTATCCTATCCAGTCCGTATCAGCTATAATAACAACTTTAGTATTTTAGTACTTAACCAGTAGCACCCACGCTAGTTCTGCTTGGCCTACTTACATTTTTTTACTTTGCACTAGTCCCGTGCACGTTCAAATGAACGTGAATGTATTCTATAAGAACCATTACACTGCCAGAAAATTCTCAGCTAGGTTGTCATGGCATATATGAATCCCTTCCTCGTCTTACATCGCACTAACAGTAGACTATGTCAATAAATTTAATTTTCAATGTTTTGCTTTCGTCCTTAATAACACACAGTATACTTCTGTATTCTCTTTTTTTCTGTTCATTAATTAATTATAGGATTTTCTTCTGTAATGATACTGTAGTAGTGTAGTATGCATGGCAGAAATTAGCACATAATGCGTGCTATTCTCTCTCTATTAGTAGTTGCCGAGGACTACTCAATCAATTGCGAATTATTGGCTCCTTCTATGGTCAGGGGCTACTAAAGAGAGAAAAGTAGTCGCAGTCCAATGTCCATATAACTTCCATATCAGGTGCATCTTGAATAATTTGACTATATGCCGTGTAGTGCAATAGTTTCCCTTTCTTTTAACTTTTCTGTACTTTACGTTATATTGTACCTAACATCGGCATTATGACAGTCTGTGAATTACGCTGGGTCAGACGATGGCCTATTAGAAGGAAACTCAGCTTTTCTTCTGCTAGTCTATGACCATGGACCAGACCATATAGGTTGCCGTTACCTCAAAAGACGAGAAGATAGAGAATCTTTCTATCACTGTCGTCATGTGCTGGGACGCTTTGGGACAAAAAGCTATCAGTCCAGCATACGATAGTGTGGAAAAAAGGCGGCTAAAACGGCGCATTCTACAAGTACTTGTCCAAGCAAAATTGCCAAGTTTTACAATCTTGATCGATTTTACTACGATATGATTAGGACAAATCTACTGAGGATACTGTATAGCCGTTTTTGCGACATTTCTAGATACGTCATGGGAAATGACTACGTCTGCACTACAGTACAGTATAGTCAATTATAAATTACTTCATTGCCAGCTTCACTAAGATATAACCAAATCATTCAAAATATTCTTTCTTTACTACTGTAGTCTGTGTCGAAGACAAGATTAGAAGACAAGTCCAGTATCAAGTTAGTTTGTCTTGTCTTTATTATTCATGATTAGCAGGAAGTAACTTTCGAGTGTACTGCGCAAATCAATCTGCTGTTTTAATTGGATATCAAGAACGATATTAATATGCAGTCTGAACTATACCATTGTAAGTCATTAGTCATTAGTCTATAAATAAATCGGAATAAATTAAATTAAAATGGAAATGCCTTTTAGTCTGTAGACGTACGGAATGGTATAGAATTAATTGATTTCATTGCAAAGGAGAAAGGTGGGGACATCTGCCGGATCCAACAAATACGGTATAGGTGTAGAAGACAGTATCAGCGAGCCATATGAAGAAGACAAGATAGATCAGTCTTGGCTACTGTACTACTAGTGAAGAGAAGTCGCTGTTGATAAAGTAAGGTACAGTAAATGGCTTCCAAAGCCATTGCAATTTTATATGTTACCCTAGTTTATCTTTCCTTCACGATTATCGCTACGTATGGAGATCAAGTAGCAGTGAAGGAAAGTAAAGACGATTGTCCAAGCAATTGTAAATGTGAAAATGATCAAGTTCGGTGTAGCCATTTCATACTCAATCAAGACCTTCAATTACCCGAAAAAACAAAACTCTTGTAAGTGATATTAATTAATCAATAGTTTTCATGTCTTGAAGGTGGTATCAGTATTTTACCAAGCGTTTTATATCGATTCAAAGTTGTCATTAGGTATATGCCCTTGCCATGCTAACTACTGGGTAAATTTGATGTTTAAATGACTGTAACCTACGGTTAACTTTATTACCGCTTATCATTCAGTTTCGATTATAATGATGCAATTTAAAATGGATCAAGTCGTATACTATCTTTTAGCTACCAACCACCATTATAAATTAATTTGGACAGTAATGGATAGTTTTTATGCCGAAATGATGACCGATAGAATCATAACACCGACGCACTCTTGATCGTGATTGTTGCAGTTAATCTTTCTGCTAGAAAGATATTGTTCCAAACGTACGTAATATCTTTCCGTTTATAGTGTACAGTAAGTCAGTAAGGTTGTTCACTCCAATCAGTATAATTAAAATTATTAAAATTAACGCCCTTTTCTACTCGTACTAAATCGACACGAAGTTTATGACAAGTGAGAAAAGCATTTTATTGCAGACATTTCATTGGATTTGCTAGGTACTTTACGCGTTTCTCAATGGCATTAATGCAGTATTTTGCCATACAGTGCGACAAACCAGTTGAAGGAGTCCAACAGCAGTACTGTATTCAGCCTCCAGTTTTCATCCACTTGACAGGCATATTTTAAGCTTCGCTTGTATCGTCTCTAGATTTAAACAGGTTTAGGGCAAAAATTCAATTAATACTGTGTAATAACTCCGTTAGAATTTCGATCTAATCTTCTTATTATTGCGCTAGTGATTGCTGCACTGGCCGGTAGAGACTGTGCATACTCATTGTAGGCCTTTTACTGTTTTGCCATGTCTCCTCTCTTTCTTCTCCACATAACTACGCATAAACAGAGAACAGACGGTAAAATTGAACTGTTACCGCACAGTAAAGAATGTTGATAAAATAGTAGTCTAGCCGCGATTGTTCAAGTCTGCAATCCTAAGAATCGGCAGCTTCTGTGTAACTAATGAATAATATTACTGTATAAACGTCAGCAGAGCAATGGTAAGATACTGGTATCTACTAATTCACGATCCACTGCCGCCACCGCGATGTAAACTTCCTATTAGAGATTAATGACCTCCAATTTATTCTATCTAAATAAAATAATATTATTAATGAAAATCGGAAGCAATTAAACCTTGACCCTGTAAGTGTTGGAATGTCAGCAGATACATTGGATCTACACCCAACATTTCTGTAGAGTAGGACAGAAAGGTCTCGGAACTGAATTTGATTCGAAATTCGAATAGAGCCCAAGATAATAACGATAATCTAGTCTAAAATGCCTGAATCTCATCCTCGCTGAACGGTCATATATTTTACAGTATGATTTTAGATCATTTAACAACTAGCATTCCATTACGTCATTTGCCGTTATAACGGTAATCCTACTACAACATAGATGCTTACACTTTCGGTAAGGTGCCTTATATTGATAAACTGCTAGCTGATATGGATTACCATCGACGTATTGACGTCTTCGTTGATACATCATGTTCCTAGTTCACGACAATGTCATGGCAAAGTTATTATTAGAGAAAACAAGATCAATATTGATCATTCAATGAACCAACTTCTTACGGTAATAGGAAATCTTCATCCCTACAGCAGTATCACTGCAGTTAAACTATCATTTTTGGCCGATACTGTAAAGTAACAACATTCCTGCAAATTCTACATCGTATTTCAAAAAATCGGAAAATCGAAACTTTTACGAAATGATTAATGTCTCTTGCTTTGCCATAGTTAAACACCTTTCATCTCTAACCAGTTTTAAAATCAAGATACTCTAGTATGAGGTTTCTATCGCTTAAATGGTTGATACTGAACAAGAATACATTCTACTAGATAATTATTTAACGCCCTTTCAAACTGCAGTACAGCATTTTCTCGGTTGGAAATGTAAATTGTTTTTGATATTTATCTGGTGAACAAGCAAAAATGACAAGCTACGTCTATCATTAATCTGTAACTACTCTTAGCTATTGCCTACGTTATACACTTTAACTATAAAATGAAGTAATAATTGACTATTTTTATCATGTAATTGTCATTAGAATCTTTGAGAACGCAGTTTCATGCGAAGACGAACATTTACATAATCTGCTACCATTAGCCCTTTCTAAGCAGATAAAAATAAGTGGCCAGTGTAGCAAGCCCAAACGTCTCATTGGCAGCAGCTTAGCAGAATTAATCGCGGAAAAGCTTAGCTCCACTAATCATCTTCGTGATAAAAGATCTAATTTTGCTACTCCTTCAATATACAACTTTACAGGTAACGGTACTAATCCTGCCGGTGTAGCTAAATAATATTCTTCTAATGTAATTTAATAACATTATTAACTTTACCACCTAAGGTAATAATTCTTATTAAATACATGAAAGAAATAATTATAATAAAACAGAATTACAGTTAGTATTTGCATATTAAATGGTACATTATTTACAGTGAGCTTTGTTATAATTTTAGAAACACCACAAGCTACAGCAGGTTGTACCTTTGACGAGGGTATGTGTGGATGGGTCCAGTTAAGTAATGTCGACTTTTTCGATTGGACTCGTCACAGTGGCAGTACTCCTAGCAGCTATACAGGGCCAAGATATGACCATACGTCAAATAGTAGTAAGTATAGCAAGTATTCTTATAATCTTTAATGTCTAACATGGTACCGCTGTAATATTTAGATAGTATCATTGGTATAGTTTATATGATTTTCTTCAGGATAGCTAAAAGTATCCTGTGGCATAATTTAAATCATTTTAATAGCGCATTGCCGCCTAATTTATGCGTTTATCATTCATTTTATCTCTTGATAGCTGAGGGCTTTTACATTTACACCGAGACATCAAGGCCAAGAGTGCTTGGAGAATATGCGGATTTAATGAGCCCTCCGATGCTTGCAGCCACTAGCAGTTCCACGGTTGAGGTAAGGTACACATGGATTTGCTTTACCAGCAAGTTAGGACAATGATCATATAAATGAGTGATATCTAGATTATTGCAAAATCGTTAAATCTTTACAACAACACCAATATTATGGCCTATCTGACCAACTTTGCAATATATCTCTAACCAATTGATTATAGAATAAACTATAGCTATTAAAGACTAGCCCTACCTGATGCTGTTGCACAGTCATTCATCTTTGTAATGGCTGCATCATCTATCATACTCGATCACATAGCTAATAAATATAACTATAAATAACAAGAAATACATGTACTACGGAAGACTATGAGCAGGTAGTTTTTAAAAGCATCATTGCGAAATTGAGAAGTATGGTAATATAGAAACAGGAGTAAGAAGTTGAATTTAAATTATCAACTACTCATTCTGTAGTCCAAACTTAGACTGGATATAAATGCAATTCAAACGATAACCTAAAAGTAGGATATAGCAGTCAAGCTTTGTTAACTGTACGTAGTGAAAATGATAAATAGATATTTAATGACCGAGACCGAATTAAGTAAATAATATATATACTTTCATTTATTTACTTAGAGCAAATCGATACCTTTTAAAATATTATTAAGCCTGCTGCCCATTAACGCGCAAAATTATATCTTTTACTGAGCTGCTATTATTAACAAAACGATTCTGCATTGCTTTATACGGTTAAGTTCTATTTAATATTTTGCACAAGAACTACTACTTAGTATTTAAGTGAATAAATCTATAACGCTCTGCACATGTGTGGTATCGGAAATTCAGAATTATTTCCCTAAATCTCTAACATTTAGAAATACCTTATCGACCGTATTCAATGACATGAGATGTTTTGCTAATTCCAATTTTAGGTCAAATTTTACTATCATGCATATGGAAGCTCGCTAGGAAAACTACAACTCTATGCGATGTACCCATCCGTTAGCCAGGCTTTTTACTCCATCACCAATGTTAGCCTTTATTCTGTGAATCAATGGAGACCATTTTCTACGACTTTTCAGCCTCTTTACAATCCATATCGTGTTAGTAATCATAGCCTGATTAAATTTTTCCTTTGCTTATAAGTGGAACATGCTATAAAAATTCAGATAATACGTTAATGTAATTATTTCAGTTATCTTGTATATTTAATTTCAACTTGGTATATTACTGGAATATTTTCCTGCATGATCTCTGTGTTCATCTTGAAAGTAAAATAAAAAGCAAAGTTATACGAAGTCTAATTTATTAATAGTTATTGTATTTTTCATTTTTCGAGTAGATTATAATTCGTGGAACAGTTGGACAGTCTTACACTGGTGATAACGCAATTGACGATATTTTTATCTCATCTGTCGGTACGAACAGTTACATATTCTAGCTATCTGTTATCTAATATTTTAAATTTATACTATGTACTAAATCTCTTTCAAAAATTATTTTTTATCTTTAATACGGCTTTACATAGAGAACAATTGTTATGTGCCCTTTTCGGAAGTTTACAGAGGAATAAATTCTCAAACTACTTCCGGTAGTTATTGCCGGAGTTGGGCCTCTTCCACTGCTCAATATTACAATCATACACCATCAAATTATCCTTACAGTGATTTAGGGTTCAGTTATTGCCGAAATCCTGGAGGGGAGCGAAGCAGACCTTGGTGCTACGTTTCTACAGGTTCAACTTGGGATTATTGCAACATACCACGTTGTATTGCTCCTACAACCACTCGTGCTCAATATCCGTTAGGAAGTAGGTTAAGATAGAAGATATTAAAAATATCTAAACATCCATTGTATTACTGCAATGAATAATTTATCTGTAAATTTTATGCTAAGAACTTCTGTAGCGTATTGTAGAGTTACGGTATATCGCTGCACATTTACTTTATTGTGAATAACAATAATGAAACAAAACATTTAATACGTTATATATGACAGTATAATTAGTTAAAGTGTTGCAGTAACAAATAAATGTTTTATTAAAATTTGACATTAATAATTAATTAAGGATGCTGTATATCAGCATCATGTTACTATATCGTTGTAATAGTAGAAGTCATATGAAAGATCGATTAAAGTAGCTACAAACAAGAAGATTATTTAAAATTTAGCAACTTTTACGGTATTTATGGAATTGCTTGAGTAATTTACTAAAGAACATGTATTCTTGAAACTCATATCTTGAATCGTCACCACTTTTATTGGCGTAAGTACAAGCAAAGTATGAAAATATAAAAGCTGTCCGTAAATGCAGACTTACTAAAATTACAGTATTAACAGAACTTACCACCAAGAATTCTCGATATCACCACGATATTCCTAAAAGCATTTTCATTCACATTCATTGTAAATCTTACTAAATCAATGTATATTGGAAGTTGATAGCTGGAATGACAATATCCTATCATAAATACAGTATGTTATAGTTCGTCCTAATGAAACGTGTAAATGTTATTTGGTAACCTACCGATTGCAAAATATGCTATATAATTTAATTAATAATTACTTATATTCTTTACTTTATTTAAGTCAATATTTTGATTCTAATCAATATAATTTAAATCTTTATTTATTTCATTCAGGGCGATATCCGGTAGCCTTGATTAATTTCGATCATGGCCAGCACTACATCGGTCGTGTTGCTATTTACCACGATGGGGAATGGGGCACTATTTACGGGAGAAGTCTTTCACATTCATTCATAGGTCTTCTATGTAAACAGGCCGGTCTAGGAAATTACGGATTACGTTATTACGGAGCTGGTAAATTTGATATGGCATGTTAGATTTGCTAACAAATTAGTTCTTAATAATATACATACGTTAAAGTCTTAGCAGATCTCACTAAATTATCAAGCCGCCCAAGCATGCTTGGGTTATATTACTATGTATTTAATCTAAACATTGTGTATGATTTAATTTTCTGAATGATTGCGGTATCCATAGGATATGGTATCGCTGGCGTTGGAAAAGTCTGGTTGGATTATACTCGTATTGCTTGTCCGGCATCAAGCAATTCGATTAACAACTGTACTTTAGGATCATGGGGTAGCACTTACGGACATAGCTCTGATCTTTGGCTAACATGCTCTTGGCATTCTACAAACACAACTGCAAACCCAGCTGTATCTACATGTTGGTCTCTTTTAGTTATCCTAATCTTGTAGCATGCAATTGCTCTTCTTGTATTTAGCATTTATTTTTCTACAATTAGCACCTTAATATATTTTTCAGTTGTATTTTAAAAATTATATATCTTTTTTAAACTTTCAATAATATACCATCAAGCAGTCTCTACTGCAAATTTTTTAAGCTTATACAAGTTAAGTCTTCAAGACGGAAGAAATTCAACAACTGGTTGGGTTCAAGTTGATTACAATACTCGATCTGGTGCAATATGTTCATCCAGCTGGAATTTAAATAGCGCTGATGTAGTTTGCCGTTAACTAGGTTATATTGGTGCATATTCTTTTAATTGTAAGTAAGCTATGCTATTATTGCCACTTCTTCCTGATTGACTAATTTTATTCCTGCAGTTAATGTACATAATACTACTATGTAAGACACTTCATTCTCTCTATAAACAGCTTTATCTGGCTCAGACCCGCCGTCAGCAGTTACTACTGTAATTAGTTATATATATTGCCGCGGATACGAACCAAGTATAGATGCATGCACCTTAAGAACTACTCCCTCTATTTGCTATTCATCATCGATTCGTCAAGTATCTTGCAATCCAGGGCGATCGATTTATTGTAAGATAATTATATTTAATAAATATATAGGTCAACCACATTTATATTGCTTGGTTTATTAGAGCAAAATAGGATTTCACCTGCAGCATTAATTGTATAAAGCAATGAGTTATTGGTTACGCTGATATTGCATTTAATAACCATTATACCATCGTATCCTCATATTAGTCAGTTATAACAAGCCAGAATACTGCACATTTCAGTATGGTCTCTGTGGCTGGAAAGCAACCGGAAAAAAAACATGGATTTGGTACCCCCGTAATAGCGGGCACTTTTCTCCTTTTGGAGGACAAAGTTGTGAGTAGCACTCATACTTAATGATAATTTGATTTTAGCAATACTAGCTAGGGGAGATATATATTCAATACTGCATACACTCTCGATAAGGTTATTTAATCGTAAAATTAATTTTTCAAAATATTTCATCAATATCTTATAGATTCGTCCTTTATATATGCCTATCAAGCTGCCAGGTCTACCGCAGTTGTAGCAACACTAGTTAGCCCTCGAATATATAGAGCATTTCGAACACAATATGTACGGTACTTATGGCAATAACATTCCTTTAATGAAATATAATAGCTGTACCTATTTATTTGATTGGATTCTGTAGGTTCGATTTCAATATTACGTTATGGGCTACAATTTTGATTCTTTGGTACTTTCGTACAGTCCAAGTGCTTCAGTTAGTTACACCATCTACAGTACATACAGATTAAGTTCTGGAGTGAAAGGAGTTTGGATCGGGAAATCCAGCAATAGCTTCTATCCGAATGGAAATTACATAGTAAGTTCATACTTTATAGTTTATAAATATGTCAACACCAACATTCAGACAAACCATTCTCTGGATGTAAGAAGTCACTGAAAGCAATTGCCTTTAAGTTTACATTACCATAATCACATCACGTATGTCCAAACAGATCTTTACATTTAGAATGCAATTGATGTAGATATTAAAGCGACTGTATCTCAATGCAATACAAGTTGGCGAAACCAGTTAACACTTCAAATCATATTTTAAACTTTCTAGCTAAGATTGGTCTGTAAAACATACTCCGGATCTCCATCTTCAAGTTCTGGTGTTGGATTTAGAAATATAATTTTATTTTATGGATATAGTTCATTTGTTTCAACCTATACACCTACCAATGGTATGTACTCATATAAATACTTCAAGAACTAAACTATTTGCATTTAACATAGAAATATGATAAATTTTAATACTCCTAAAGAAAGTTTCGTAGGTTCAAATCTGTCTTTCGTCAATGTAGGCTACAATCCTCATGTCAACGTTACTAGCATAATAATTGGCGTTACGGTAACAATTATACTTATAATATTCGCAATTATAATATTTACGTACCGACATCGCTATATAAACTCCCGTGGAAGACCTTTTAATAGTCCTAGCTCTGGAATGCCTGTACCCGGAACAAGAATAACTAATCCTCCACCAAATACTTCAAGCAACACCTCTACTGCACCACCACCAGGTATAGTAAAATGATTCTTTTAATGGTTTTGCCCCAGCTATTCATATTATAGTCAGCTTTCTGAGTATCGTAGTCGCTGCATTTCTTCTAAGAATTCATATTTTAAGATCCATACAATTAATACCGGGGTCTTTAGTAAGTCACCGTATTAGTCTATTAATAGTCGCAGAACAATAAGCTACTTTTGAAAACAATCATGATTACTTGGCAAATTTTAAAATGGTATTTATTTGATTAAGTTGATCAGCATTCTTTAAGCTTTTAAATATAAAATGAAATGCTGTATTGTATCATTATTATTCAAAACAATGGAACTTAGTTACAGCCTTTATAACTAATGATGCATATTAATTCCATTTATTGCTTTTATGACTATTTGGCGTTGTACCGTAGCATATGGTGTCGCAGTGACCTCACAAACTCCAGGTATTTTACAATAACTAGTATAAATGAACACTGTACTTATCAAACCGCTACGTTTCTATTAAAATCGTAGCGGCCAATACTATGTATTCTCTCATCTCAATGATTATCTCAATTCGGAAGCTTTTTCGTCAGTCCATTTTGTTTCTGATCAAAGGTATTAGCTATCCTGCAGTATATGGAGCTCCACCACCCGGCCATGGAGTTGCTCAACCTGGTTATGGATTCGGACAAACTCCATACGTAGTTAGCTATAATGTAAATGCAGGTATGCATCCTATAGGACTCAATCCAAGTAATAAGTTTATATTTCTTCTCATTATTCTTAAATTTGAAAGTTGCAGAATACATCAATTTTTGCATTTTTCATCGAATTTTAGATACTAATCCATAATAATATAAGCATAAACAGTATAGCGAAATAATAGTAATTGCATTATCTTACATCTACAGGGACTCCTCAAACTTCACCTCCATTATATGAAACGGTATCCCAATCGCAGAATACAACTCATGCAGCCGAAATGCAGAATAATGAATTAAGCAAAATTAATACATAGAAACTGCTGTTAAAATAATACATTGTTATTACATTGATACTACTTCAAGTAATCTTTACCACCACTGGCATGTCACAATAGACTTTTTATACACTGTAATGTTGCTGTTATACACTCGAATACGTAGTATACTCATACTGCCATAGCTATAATACCTACTATACTTGTTAACGTCCATTTTACGTTCGTATCGCCTTTGATTCGATCACAATCTATGATCTTATTTTATTTTACAATACAAAATTGAATAAGTCATCCCTGTTGTGTAGCATACCGAAACTAGTATGTACGTAATTGTAACTGATAGTAGCTGCAATGATTAAAACGAACCAATGCGAGGTTATATTTGTATTTCGGAGTAAATTGACCTCGATTTAATGCTTCTATATTCGTAAAATTTGCTAATAAAAAACTAAATTTAAGGATCCACCGATAAATAATGTTTCTGATGTTTTATTATATTTATTCGTCTTTTACAGCACCTCTTCAATTCTACATTAGCTTTAACATACGATTTGCAACGTAAACTGTATTCATCAAATACTACATATATGCAATACTAGATTGCAATGAACTTGATTAGGCATTGTTATAAGTTTATTGAGGTGTGTATAGTGGTGCCTACTACGGCCTATTAAATAAAGCGGGTACAAGTGCAGCTACTGCCGTTGCTATAAATTGCGTAGTTGAAGAATAAGAAAAATATAATATAATCTGTGTACAATTTAAATTCGTATCTGCCACCCTTACATAATGCACAACATGTTAGAACACACTCACTTTATCTACATGGAGTGGCTAGTGCAATTTCATAATGTTCCACAATCACATCATCATATCCGACTTAGTATAACCATGAGAGACTGCAATAATTTTAGAGGAAGTGCAATAAAGACAGCATACTAATATATGCATAAGACAAATTATTTTATATGACGGCATTTTGTCCCAATACTTATGGGATAAACCTATTAATACAACATTAAGAACGCGTGATGAAGTACCCCAATCATACACCGTGCTTTAATCCACTTAAATAATGACTAGGATAGAAATGAAATGTGACTGCTATTGTACTGCTATCTAATCTCATGGGCCATATATAAGCTAATATAAGCCTCTGGAAAGCTGTCAGAAGCACTCATAATGCTCCCAAAATATTCATACGCAATGTGGTCATTTTAACCAGAAATCAAGCAGTGTCATTAGTTGTAATTACTTTAGAAAACTAATTTATACGTATTCTTTATCAGAAAAGAAAGTTTTTAGCCAGCAGTCTTTACAAGTCTAACAGTAAGTGCCTCATAAAGCAATTTGGAATATTCTTAAAAAATATGGTATTGAAAACTTTTTCAATTTTCTACTTTGGTCTAATTTAAAATTTCTTCATCATCGTTATCTGTGGAAATTGGGTAATAATTTATGATGGTAAGAGCGATTGCCCAAGCCATTGTAAGTGTAGTGTATTACCACTAGTCTTTCTTAAATAAAACCGAAGCCAAATTTTATTTAAAAAATCGGCCACTTTACAGTCAATCTGCACAAAACTAAATTTCTAGTGCAGAGATAATATCATAAAGCTATTTTGCCTTGCCTTTGGAAAATTATCATCTACAAGATAAGGGGAATACACTGACTTGATGAGCTCTCCGTTACATAGAGCAACAAAATAGCTCTATGGTTGAGGTAATTTATCAATTTTATTATTCGAAAGAACATAACAGCTAATTGATTATTTCAATGATCCGTTTCTAATTTCAATTATATCATGAAGTTATAAACTATAATGACAGTCTTGATCTAGATTTTATTACATATTTCTAAAAGTTTTTATACTAAAGTAAGGTAACCGAATCAATTGATTGTTGGAATAATATTAATTAAAAGGGCTTAATTCCTTTTTATAGCTCGATTAGCCTTGCTACCACTACGGAAAAGGACGATAATAAGTTCTGTTAACTGTTATGGATTTGAGCCAAGTGTTGACTACCGCACTGCAAGCAATACTCTGTCTAATTATTCATTATCGTTGATTTGCCAAATATCTTGTCATCCTGGGCAATCGTGTAACAGTATATCAATAAATATTCAGTTCAGTTATTTAATTTTCCTTTATATCTCGGAAAGAATTGAAACTCTACACCCTGCACTTATAAAATAAATCTATTTTAGGGGTAGTAGGTATACATTAACTAAATATCGATTGATTTTACAGGTTTACAATAGCCAGTAACAACGAGCCTCAGCACTGCTCACTTCAATAGGGTCTCTGACCCTGGATAGCTACAAGTAACAAAACCTTGGATTTGGCATCCCATCGATGATACCAGTAGCAGACACTTTCAGTCTTTTTCCGAACAAAATCGTTAGTACATACTGTATCAATAACTTCACGGCTACTACTGTAATAGCTGTAATATTTTCATGATACGTCTCCCATTAATGCGATCTTTGACCATTTGTATTTCATGGCTAAATTTTGCATAACCCCCTGTTTTTGGTACTGTAGTTCTTCAATCACGATTCACATACGCTAAGTTATACTGTTTCAAAACTGATATCTCAAATTAGTATTTCAATCCATTCGAGATTTTTCCTATGCTTACGCATATCGATCTACCGGTAGCTTTGCTCAAATTGAAGCAACGCTAACTAACCCTCAAATAGATGGAAGATCATTAAGCCGGCAAAATGTAAGTACAATGGCATTATCGTCTATAGTAATGGAAGTTGGCGAAGTCAAATATTACTGAATACAATTACAATTACTGTATTATTTATGGATTTAAGTGTCAGGTTACATTCAAATATTTTGTAATGGGTGACAACTTTAGATCTCTATCGCATATATATTATATATCTTTAATTTTATCGTATACTAAATTACTGTTATCCTTTCATCAGAACGCACGCTAATGGCAAGAATCGAAGATATATTATTCGATACAATTTATGATTTATTCATTTGAAACTGGGGTTTCATTTGAAAACTGCTTTTAATTGTTAATAAGGGCTTTTCTGAAAGCATTCGTACATTACCACCGTAACATTAAAATAAGCTTACGCGGAATTAGTGCTGGTGGTTGAATAATAATATTTCAAAACTTTTTTAGCTTAAAATTTCTTATAGTTAAAACATAAAATCCTCATCTTCAGCTTCAAGTGTTGGAATCAGAAATATAATTTTGCTCTATTCACCTTGATTAACTATACCTACTCCAGGTACGTTTAGAAGCGTTAATACATAGAGCTGTTGCCGGCTAAACTGAAAATTGAGCAAAACTATAATTATTCTTTAAATGCGGTAGGCTATACCACACCTGTCAATATTACTGACATAGTTGCTGGATACATCGCTTCTATCGTGTTAATTATCATAGCCGCAACTACAGCAATTAATTATTGGTCATGACGATACTATTAGACAAATTCGAACGGAAGAACTGCTACTGGTGTTGAAAATTCTGAAGTTTCTGATACAAAAATGAATAGTACTCCACTATTTACTACGTAATGAATACTGACAGCACACAACAACCTGGAGTAATAACATTTGGAATCAATTCTTTTATTAACTATTTGCATCATTAGCTTATCTACATGTTCTCAATGCTTTCTATGGAAATAGAATAACATTTCTTTCACAGCTGCTCACAAATTCTTTTAGTAAATATTACTTATGACCACATCTAATGGCGTTTTTATAATTACAGTAAAAATTATGTAATATGCTCGAATCAATTATTTAATATACTCGCAAATCAAGGTATTTGGCAGAACTCGAATCGCGGTTGTTTATTTGCAATTGACCAGCTTAACTGTGCTTAAAACTAGCTTTTTTGCCATAAATTTTATCAATTTTACAATAAGTTACTGAGTTAATGTAATTAAGCTAGTAGCCGAATTATCAATCGATCTTTTGCAATTCTGTATCACTCATGTTGCACTACAGCTCATCCCACAGAGACAATATCTAAAACATATAGTAATTGGCAAATTTATCGCAGCTAAGCTCATCGAATCGTTATGTTTCAACATCAATATAGGAATGTCTTATTATTAATCTATATAATTTCTACCAAAGTATTACCGATTAGGGAGTATACGTAGCTTCATCTCCCTTTACGTTGGCTCAGCCAGTTTATGACCGTGAACAGTGGATAGCCTCCTTTTACAGTCAGCTACAATTTGTATACTGATATTCAACTTGCAATAAATCCAAATAGTAAGATTTTATTTCTTTGCGTTATTTTCAATGTTTAAATGCTTTAGGAACCGCAGTTGTAGTTATACAGTAGTTTATACCAGGTAATCTTGATGCTAAATCAAATAATGTAAATTGCACTAATTTAGACATATGCATTATACACGTTATTGTAAAAGTAATCTATTTTCCATGTTTTTCGTTCATAGTAGCCTCTAAGAATGTGCCATCAATTATCTATGAGAAATAACAGTATAATGAGCAAACTCAAATTGATATTTAAATTATTATGCTGTTATTTATCGCCTATAATATTTTTGCTACCAGTAATATTAACTGTTGCTGGTACAAGATATTGACCATTATCTTGAGGTGATGTCAAAATTTAAATGATAGATTAGTAAGGTGGATATCTTGAATTTAAATACGTTGACGTAAAATTATCTTCGATTTGACCCCTAAAAATTTATTGTTGACTAAGTTCACGGACGGATATCTTCTTTGTGATTGGGTCAAGTGTTGTATGCAAAATTGAGCGGTACTGTTATAGTATTATCGGCCGATGTTGTGATTCTGATAGTATACTCTATACACTATGCTAAGCACTAGCTCGTGTAGAATTCTATATTTATAAATAAGATTAAAAATAAAATCTAACTAAAATCCCATAGTGCGGTGTCAGTTATTTACTGTGTTCACAATCAACGAAGTAATAACAGTCTTGGTTCTTAAGATTCATATATTAAACTTATAGCGAATAATATATCCTGACTAACATGCTAGCATAATAAATGATTACAAATTGAGCATATCCACATAAATAGATATGTATCATTCGTACAGAAGCTTTATTAACCATATTTATGCGAATACTCAAAATTTAACTATCTCTTCCTTAATCATGAGACAGAACCGTAAAGTAACATGTAAAAGCAACGTAATATTTCTGCAATAATGCAAAATAACAAAGTCTGCACTATATTGTGTAATGAATAGTAATCGGCATAATGATATTAGAATTATAATGTGGTCGACATGGCACGTGATTGTCACAATTGTAAAGATCAAATTTAGCACCTTGTGAATATATTGTGTACATATGACGTCAAAGATGTAATCTTTGCACCAATATATAATAGTTATCAACGTTTTTATTCTAATTGATCAATCAAATTTTACCGATATATATAGAAGTAGTAATACGTGAATTAGGAAGAGATAGTAAATCGATAGACTGAAGGAAATAGCCATATCGTAAACGATAACAAAAATGGCATCGAATGTAGAAATGATTGTTCGCGTTTATTTAGGCATGATTATAATTCCTTTACTAGCTACTGGTAGTAAAATAATGTTTAAGGATGTAAGAGATGATTGTCCAAGCGCCTGTAAATGTAGAGATCAGGAAATTTCATGTAATTATTTGCCTACTGAGAGAGACTTTTTTGTGCCAAAATGGACGAAACTTCTGTAAGCAGTTTTATTTCATTTAATTTTTATATCTTGTTTATCAATTACACATTAATTTAGTACAGCAATAGATTAATCGATTGAAAATATTAATTTAATACAAACATGTATAAAGTATTATTTTGACTAATAGTACATGCTAATCCTTACTGATACACCATACTTTTGTGGCATTACTGTGCCATCATTAGAAATTAGAAATTAGCCACCAATCTGCTAATTCATATTTACACAAAGTTTAAAAATCTTACATATCCCTAAAAATAATAGCAAAAATAATCACTAATCATAATTTATTGCTTAATCTGTAGTCAAATAATATATTATTCCTATTGATGATTAAAAAATTTTTAAGGAGTATAGTACATAATCAGATCCAGTGCGGCAATTTAAAATTTTTCATTCATATTGTAAGAAATTACTGAAATTAAAAGTACCAAGTAATTATTATCATTTATTATTGATAAAGCAAATTGACGCTAATAATTAATCTACTCAATCTCTGATACAACTTTGTTTATTGGGAAACAAAACTTGCTCACATCAAGAGCAGACTACCATTCACTTATTTTATAGCAATCTTACTAGTGTTTATTAGCAAGTGATTGTTTAAAGTTTTAGGTATATATGTAGTATATTCTCCACTTCAGCGTTCCTTTACTTTTGGTCATATAGTATTAGAGTAGGCGTTCTACTTCTAAGGGCATTAACTTCTAATTACGTAAAATTATTATTACTAGTTTCATCATCTCAGAGCCTTATACTCGGCCAGAATTTAAAGAAATCAACTTTTCCACTTTTCACTTTCCTCCTTAAATGTCTCTTTCTAATAATAACTACTAGATAAATCTTAATAACTGTAATGTCAAATACCACCAATTACCGTGACATTCTATATAAACTTGTTTATTACTGCCGACGGTATGCCATGATTCTACTTCTTTAATTTCAGAAGATTGATCATTTTAATATTTAAGATAAAGCTAAAAAACATGTAACGGTCTCTTATATATCTAAAATGAAATTGTAGATCTTACATTTTTTTTGGAGCTGTTCTATAAGATGCTGAAATTTATAGAATCAATAGGTTCAAAGCGTTATATAATGTAGATTGCATGAGTTATAAAGAAATCTCTTATTTATATCCATCCTTATATGTACAATACTCTTACGTAGAGTAAAAGTATAAACGTTACCTTGTAAGTGTATTTCAATCTAAAAATCAAAGTGCTAGTATAATCGTAAGGCAGTAGAGCAACTTCGTTGCAATCATTTATCAATATTTGTATTAAGTCTCCTCAATGACTTAAAGTTAGAGTTAGAAATGATCGCTAGCACTCATTCATCTTTACATTTTATGCGTAAGTAATTATTAAAATTTACAAGTTATCTGAGTTTCAATGGAAAGCAATTAGCAATTGTAATTTCTTCGATAAATTTGGTTACAACTGGATCTGTATTGCGACGAAATCATATTAAAAGTATTTTAAGATCCCTAAATGGCTAAATTAGACCTTTATCTCTTTGCCAATTAACAATCCAACGCCTATCACTGTTTCTATCTAAGCGATATCACGATGATAAAGTAATAGATTAACGATATAATAGCGATAAGATTACGATCACCTTTAGCATAGAACTGAAACAATGTAGTAATAACTCAAAGTATATGTGTATTATACTAAATAGTACTACAATAATCATTTATCTCTGTTGCGTGTTTTTTTTTATTTCCAATCTTAGAATTACCTATAAAATGATACCCTTTATAAGCAACATGTTTCACTCTATTTTTGTATTATTTTAATTGCGTAAATGATTCGAGGTTGAAATATTAACAATACAGGATGCACCTACGAGTATAGTGCAAGATTATACCAAACGGATGATATTATTGGATCGCATACGATCTGTACACGGTATAAAATGAAACTTTTATTTCAATACTGCAAAGGTTAAAAGGAATTAATATGTAAACAACATTTTTATTTAACTTGTATAATAACTTCAGATTAGAAATAAATTGTCTTAATTCCAAGAAGGCAATAAAATCGAGTAGATCTATTGCCGTATCGAACGCTAACTACTCCACATATTAGTACGAGTATATCGCAAGCGGTGTAGGTTTTTGAAAACGTTCTAAACACATAAACTTTTTCTGATGTCGCTATGCTCAGGATCATTAAAAACGCCATTTCCTGCGAAGACAAATATCTAGATAGATTGAAGAATTTGATCATCCCCAATCAAATCAAAATAATTGGCAAATGTAGCAAACCCTCAAGTTTGGCAGGGCGAAGACTATCAAAACTGATCGAAAACAGTCATTCTCTAAGCAAATATTCCCGTAAGGAAAGATCGGACCATACGAGTTATTACTCCTCAATATACAATTTCACAGGTTCATAATTTTATTTTACTTATATTTAAGGATACCTGTAAATTACAAATTACAATGCCGACTAGAAATAACATTAATGACTAAGTTAAAGGCTACTCTCGTATGCTAATAAATTTACCTGCTAAGTCTTTAATATGAATACAAATTTTCTCAGATCCAGCCTACACTACCAGTTGTAACTTTGACATTGATCTGTGCGGATGGACACAGTTAACTTTAGTCGATTTTTTTAATTGGACTCGCATTAGTGGTTCTACCACAAGCTCAAGTACAGGACCAACCAACGACCATACTCTTAAAAATTGTATGGATTACTAACTATAAATGAATAACATGTTGAGGATATTATTAGGCAGGAGTTTGAACTTCAGATCTATTAAAAGCATTTAACTGAATTTAATAGTAATAAACAATGCTTAACTGTTGCTTGGATCTAACTATAGCTTTAGGTTACTACCTTTATACCGAATCATCATGGCCGAGAAAGCCTGGTGAATATGCTGATTTAATGAGCCCTCCACTAGCTACGGCTTCTAACAGTTCAGTAGTCGAGGTAATATGGAAATAGAGTTAAAAGTATATTGCCAATTAGTAAGAATTCAGGTAATATTAGAATTGATATTGTTCTTCATATTAAACGGTACCTATATTTTTGTTTAATTCGTGCTATACCAATAGAAACAATGATGAGCAAGATACCTATAAATCTTATGCTATAGCATATATACTTTAAAGATCCTAAATTTTGATTAATTTAGTATAATACCTTAGCATGTTGACTAATTTTATAAACCAAGTAAGAATACTACCCGTACTAACTCAAATTAATACTACTTAAATTTGAAAAGAGAAAGTGATTAATTATTGAGATTTATAGAATATATAACATAAGTTGGTGTCGCCAGATAATAGCAAAATAGGTACCGCATTAGTCGCAACGAATGTTGTAATTCAAATAGTGTAATTAACTTATAGCATACTTTACCTAACCGTAAATATTTACTATCACTGTCTCCTTTACAGTCCGTTTTGTGAAATGCTTGCATCAATATTTAAATATCATCATTTTACATTTGATCAACAATTATACCTCTTTATAATGCTCGACTTTAGATTAAATTTTACTATCATGCATATGGTTCAAGTTTGGGTAAACTTCAGATATATGCAATGTATCCAAGAATTAAGCAATCAATATATCCTATCAAGAATGTTAGCTTCTATTCTCTTAATTCATGGCGCTCATTTTCTACAACATTTCGCCCACTTCATAATCCATATCGTGTAAGTAATGTAACTTACCAGCATTTATCTTTGAACATAATCATTAAATAAATAATATGAGTAAATAAATAATGCTTGACTATGGCATGATATTAATAACTTGAATAAAATTGTCTAACTTCAAATATGCTAGATAAAATAAAATCATATTTCGATACGAAATCTACAGGAATTCATATGAGATCATTTATTTTCCATGCTGTATAACTAGGTTATTATTCGTGGAGTCGTCGGATCATCATTTAAAAGCGATATTGCCATCGATGATATCTTCGTCTCTGCAAATGGTAAATTATAAAAACAATATTATCTAACATTCGTTGTTCGACAAGATTATTTAGCAATCAAGTCATACAACTATATTTTGACATACTTTTTGGGTACCTCATAAATAGAGAAGCAGTGCTATACTCGGAATAATGATGTCTATCGAGGGTCAACTTCTACCACCCAGTCTGGTTTAACATGCCAATCATGGAGTTCACAGTATCCTCATTCTCATCCTTTTACTCCATCAAATTATTCTAACAGCGATCTTATATCTAATTATTGTCGAAATCCCGGTGGAGTGCGCAATGGTCCATGGTGCTATACGATCTCTTCCCATCATTCTTGGGAATATTGCAATATACAACTTTGCGCTTCTCCACCTAGCAGCACAGCAGAGTACCCTTTAGGGGGTATGTTATGATATACTGGTAGATAATTGAAATAAAGCTAATAATTGCAGTTAAGGACGCTGCATCTCTAATAATATAGATATTAAAATACATTACGCACTATGAGAAAATTTAAATTGAGTTTCACTAGTAGTTAAAATGAAGAAAATTATCCTCGAGATCTATGTTAACCAAACATACAGCATAGCTTACAAATATAACTCTTTCGAATCATTGTATATAGCTTACTTTACTTTATTATTATCGACGACTTAACGATAAATATATTAATTGTTATTGATCACACGTGAGTATAAACACATGGTAAAATATTTTAAATTGAAATTTATCATATTTCATTAACTTGCATACTTATATTTCTTACATCTTCATCTCTACGTAGTTCGCTATCCAGTTGCATTAGTTAATTTGGACGATGGTAATCTTAACGTGGGTCGCGTAGTTATTTATCATAACGGCAGATGGGGTACTATCTGTAAAACGGGACTATCAAATCAAATTATGGGTCTATTTTGTCAGCAAGCTGGTCTTGGAAACTCAGGCTCTCCACAGAATGGTAGGTTGTATCGCATCGTGGCATTTTATCCTTAATTATTAGTAATTTAACCGATAGATTGCAGTATTTCACTGTGATATTCGCATCCACATTCGCGTATTATATTTTTCACTAAGACCTACTAAATATATTGATTAGTAAGATTGTTAAAATAAAATCCTATTTTTACTCGCTTGCTTTCTTTAGGAATCGTTAATAATAACCATGGGTTTATGTGGCTAGATAGTAACAGCATTTCGTGTTCATCAAACGCAACTTCCCTCATTCATTGTTTTATGGGACCATGGGGAAGCACTTGCGGACATACTAATGATCTTTGGCTAATGTGCTCCGGCCCTTCTCCCATACTTCCACGTTAGTAAAGTTTGAAGAGGAGATAAATTGTTACAACTTCTGTCTTAATATCAAAGCAAACATCTTAAATTCCATGCATAACAGAAAAAAAAATTCCATCAACTATCCGTGTTGATTGCTTTCTTACTTTAATTTTCTTTCTAACGCCTCTTCTACCAGCGATTCCGAGTTCATATCAGCTGTTCCTTAGAGGAGGATATAATTATTCTAGTGGCCGAATTGATGTCAATTATAATGGTCAGCCTGGTATTATGTGCTCCACATCTTGGGATATTTATACTGCAGATGTCGTTTGTCGCCAGCTGGGTTATGTTGGGGCATATTCTTGCAATTGTAAGTAATTTTTGAATTTCTCTATGTACTAAACATACTAAACTTGTTAAGGCGTGATACCTACTATGCGTAATAATGAATATGAAGTACCAACTTGAGCCGCATAATCAAGCTAATAAGTTAAACTTTTCTAAACAGCGACAGCAATTTCAAGACCTTCAGGGCTAACTGCAAAAATTAGCTATATAAGATGTAATGGGTATGAACCAACTATCGATGGATGTACTATAGCAACCTCTAACTCTATTTGCCAGTCATCAAATATCAACGTTGTATCGTGTAGGCCAGGGAGTCCAAAAACTGGTAAGCAATCGATAATATTACTTCCTCTAGTAAGCCATTCTAGCGTGATGAAATCTTATACAGATAAATCACTGACTCTAAGCTTAAAGCTATACTCAAATTATCAAATTGTATTAATATAGTATTTAACCTATATGATTTTGCCATTCAGATAATTATAATGAGCCTGAAGATTGTTCCTTTCAAAACGGATTTTGCGGTTGGACAACAATAGGACCTGTAACTTGGATTTGGTACCCTAACGAAGTGGGACATTTCAACCCTTTTTCGACTCCTAGCGGTTAGTCGTAGTCGTAATTGAATATTTTAGCAATTGAATACCATCCACAAAAATACGCATAGGTATTATGGCTAAGAGTAAACTTCCGCGGAGTTATAATCTTCCGTGATAAAATAAAATATAATTCCTAATAATTCAAAAAGCTTAATAATATCTTTCCGTTTTCTTTTTAGATATACCCTTTTTATATGTTTATAGGCCTTCTAGTGGCTCTGCTCCTATCTCAGCTTTGTTGACTAGTCCATTATTCACCGAAGAATCTTCAGAACAATATGTAATGAAATAGATTATATTTAGACCTCATCAGTAAATATCGTTGATGAAATCCAATGTCACTGTTACGAAAAATGAATTGATTAATTATTTCCATAGATAACCTTCGATTACATTGTTACTGGTACAGCCTTTGACTATCTGGAAATTAGTTACAAGCTAAGTAGCGGAAAGGAAAATATTATATATCAACACCGTATAGATACAACGGTATCAACTTGGACTATCGCTTCGACTGACAAGATTGATACCGATGAAAGTTTCACAGTAAGTTTCACGAAGTTATTTACCCAATTCAAGATAAGATAACTGTCTATAGATTGCATAATATATAAATGAGTACATAAGTTATTTATATTCACAACACTTGTACACAGGTAATTTATCCTGCATGTGATCTTAAAATAGCTAAACAATTTTAGGTGTAGTGATATAAACTATTAGTTACAGTAGCTTATATATAATATAATTTATCCTCTGATTCCAAAAGATTATCATAATTAATTCACTTCGTTTTTGCACATCAAGATTTACTTAAGCATATGGCTACTTTATTCAATTTAACTGTAAAAATTTATTTTAAATCATTAGATAAAAATCATGTGCAGATCAGTCAGCACTTCTACGGGATCAGTTGCTTCGGCTATAGGAATTAGGAGAATAAATTTTCAAGATGAAAATTCTAAACATGGTTAGTATAAAGTGAAACAGCAAGATATACGAAATTATTTTCGCAAGAAGATAGACATAGCTGCATCTATATCCAGTTTTAATATTTGCAGTGATTCTCATCACCTCTATCTATTTAGGACGTTTCCTCAATATCCCTGGTATTGCAGTAGGTTGTGCAATTGGTATCATAATTATTATATTTATAATTTTATACGTTTATAAAAGATCTCAGCAAAGGCAATCGGTAAATACTGTGGTTACTCCTTCGAATATACAAAGACAAACAACCAGGATTATTAATAGTGAACCATCAAATAGTCGAATTGATACAACAGCAACGAATAACTTAGCATCCACGACTATAAGTAAAAGAGTTATTAATTCGGCTTCTACTCCTGTAACTTCAGCCGCCCAATCATCAGGTAAAATTGAATAATTTATTTGCATTTGAAGTTTGCATATACTTTTATTAGTGCTGAGTTATCAATGGCTCTTATCTGTGACGTTCGCTTTATAATGTATTAGGTTAAATATGCTATTTATCTTAGAATTACCTTATACCCGTAACTATACCTAATTGTTTGATATATTCCTTTGCATGTTGTATCTGCACATGTAAAATAGTCTGTTCTGACTTTAAGTCATCGCAAATACTAGATAAACCGTGCATCTTTCGCTCCATTTACGACAACTTTTCCACCAATAACTTGATACTTACGATAGATAACCCCATAATTAAAACTGTTTAAAACATTGGACTAAACAATTTATGTAATATATACTTTTAATTTATTAAGGAGTGATTTACCCAGCACCCTGTGGGATTTCTAATTCTGGCAATCGAGTCAATCAATTTGGTTCCAATACTTGCTTCCATAGTAGTGAGCTACCTCATTCAGTTAACTGTAACGTCAATCCTGTTATGCCATTCCCAATGACCTCAACCGGTATGTTACTGGCTTTCATAGCAATCATCTATTAAGACATTACATTTCTGTTTAATGTAATAAAATGAGAAAGAATTGTTTAATTTTAAATATTGTTTGTCTTGGTAAATATTAATATTATTTTCGTTATCATATTCTAATAGTTACAGTATCCTTTACCGATCCACCACCAAATTATGAAATAGCCATGCAACAACAAAACAATGAGCACGAGACACAACAGTGCAGTAATCGAACGTAACTGATTGTAACTATTGCAACAAGAAAATTATTATCAAAAGTGATACTTCGGAAGATTGTGTCAGTCATTATCGCGCAAAATTACAAGAGCATTTTTTGTCAAGTTAGCAGTCTTTGTTGGCACTAGTGCGAGGAGGAAAATCATGCTAGCATCTAGCGTCAATAACGACGTGAACTGATCGAATACTTATAGCAGAGTAGAATATAAAACATACAAGCTTAGCGTATAATCAGCAGAATTAACAAACGAAATCGATGCACTGAGGTGTTTTTATAACGTAAAAAGTACAGTAGGAGAAAATTGTTCAAATGCAGATGAGTAATAAGTATCACTTACTTTTATGTTAGGAGTTTTCTGCGGTATAATTGGATTAGAGAATAAATAGAATTCGACTTTGTAAATATTACGCTGTATATCGATCATGCAAATATGGGGTAATACTACAGTACAAGAGAGATTTCTACTCATAATAGAATATACTGTATATAAAAATCTATGCTACAATCAATATCTTGTTATTAAAGTTATACTTTTAAGACATTTTCCTATTCATTAAATATTTTTATGTTCATATGAAACTAAAGATATCTTTATCTGAAATAATAGTATGTTGATCGCTAGCAATAATCTACGAACGCTCGATTTATGATATTTTCATACATACGATTCTCAATTTTGTCCAATAACTATTGCAAAAATTTTTATGCCGAATAGGACAATAAAACACGGAGTTATATGCTGCAAAATTCACTATACTAAACCGTTGAAATGTTATAATAACGCAATTTTATGATTAATTGAATTCAGCACAAATACCTTCTAATACATTATTACAGTTTTGGCTGTATTTACATTACTATTATGAATCACTTTAAGAATGTTTACTACTTAAAATTATGCTAAAGCAATTTAATAGAGCATTTTAAATGCACCTACACGAAAGAATCATAAACAGGTATAGTAGGGTGTGAGACTTTAAAGCTATAGCCTGTAATAACATCTACTGTCTGTTGTCTCGGCTATCTCTATCAATCTATTTACAGCCGAGTATACTACCAAGACAAAATGGAACGAACATGATCATATTTATTTACGATTATACCATTTTGTGACATTAGTATGCACTATGTTGGATTTACTAATCTTTATGGCTGTTGTATGCAGTACAATAGTGAACGAGCTTGAAGCGATACCTTAAAAGCAAAAAGTTAGTTACAGCACTTAAATAGAACTTGAAAATTTTCTCAAAGACTGGCCAATCTCTACAGATTCCATTTTTACCCATATTAACTTTAAAATTATATAATCCAATGGATAACAATTTTATCAGAGTCCATTCCGATGAAACTATATTAAATCAAATTCTACTGTGCATATCCTTACTTATCAAGTGGTTATTTCTCTGTAGTGATGCACCCGTATTTGATTATAAGGATAGCTATATTTGATATAGTTAGGTTACTCTAAATAGATATTATAATCGTGAAGCTAATATTAGATGATTGCTAACTACTACATTAGAAATTGTTGATGACTAATATTAGCCAGTTGACTAAATATGATACAAGATTTATGTGGCTAGAAACACTGTAGTTGTTAAGATGCCCTTCGGAGAAAGGGGCTACACGATAATAGGAGAGTACAGCGACATCTTAAGTAGAATGATTTCGATTGTAGAAAATAATGATATCCTATTTGAGAAAAGTATTTTGTTTGATGACACATGCCTGATTGTAGATGAATCAAGTTGCCATGAATGGATTTAACGAAATTTATATAAGAATTACAGGGATGAGCTCACGAGGGAGAAGAGACTTGACTTCGCTTTGAGTTGGGAATACTTTCGATTTTAGACTAGATTCTTGTCGTAATTCATTATTGCTCTACTTTTCCTAAAACCTTGTAATAAAAGCCATTTAGAAAACAGCATTTGACTAAGATAGTTATTAAGAGACACTTTTATTACACTCTCTCCAACAAATATGGTGTGAATATCTTTTAGGCTATTGAGCTGACTGTAATTATAATTTAGCATATAATATTGAAGTATTTTACAAATGAAAGCAGTCTTCTTACAAGGCAGAATATGAAACAAATTTTTGAAAACAAATAATATCAATACCGCACCATATCGTATTGATTATGGACATTTAACTTTAAATTACAATTATTGACGAAAGGCAATAACAGAGTAATTCTGCAACATCTGTATTCCTGACGATGATTATTATTTTTAACTTTAGCGTCTATTCTACGTATAAACGAGTTATCTTTAAGAATTAATACCTTTATCAATTTTCTGTAAGGCATGTATATAATATATATACACTCTATCTCTTCAATCCATGAACAGCTATTTTAATGATTACACTTCTATGGAACAGAGTATTTCTCTGTAATTTTACGATATAAATCATGAAGGTTATATTGTCCAATGTACGAGTTATAGATTATAACAGTGTAACGAGATCAAGAATCTGAGATTTTTGAGCTTTCCTTTCCTTTAGCCTACTTTATTTGGAAGCCCAAGCCAAGCACGATATCATACACACGTTAACGAGACATAAGAAATGTGACAACAAATCAGTTCTAGTACGAACGTAACTATAGTATCATATCCTAACAGTACGTGAACATTTCTAGCATGCGATCTTAATCTAGTACATTATACAGTAGATATGATGTAGATAAGCCGTAAATAGTATTGTACGATATCTAGGATTCCCCACGTTCTATGGCGCGTACACTACAAGGTAACAAGCAGTAGTTTACAGGACAGGCGATGTTACGACAAAGAGGAAAGTCCCTGATTCTAATTAGCTTCGAATAGAAACTTTTCTACTGTCTAAAATGATGCAAATTCATCCAGAACTTTATGAGCTCGTCGAATAGAAACTTTACTACTGTCTAAAAAGATGCAAATTCAGCCAGAGCTTTATGAGCTCTGCATTGCACTCATGCGCCAGTTTGAAGCTTGGTTGACCATGACGTCATTATTGGCGCGACAGCAATAGTACTTTCCTCTAGAAAGTTGAAGTCCGCTCCCTTTTACAGTACTGTACTGTACTTCGACTAGTTTAGAATGCTTGAGGTCAAAGATTACAGAATGATTAAAGCAGTTGCTATAAGATGCACAAAATATAGCCCTGCGACGAAGAGTTCATATCCAATGATTGATGATAAAGGATGAAAAAGGGCAAAATAAAATGTTGAAATTTGCTATTCTAATACACTAATGAATAGTTCAAAAATCTATTTTTAAATTGTGCCTATTGTTTCGACAATCGCCATACAATAGGATTCCAGTGGACGGTACGGTACGGCACGGTAACGGTAACGTATTGTTATTCATCACAGATCCAAGGCAAACCGCCCTAGTGCCTGATAACGACCGTAGTTTCGATTGTTACCATGTGTTTTACATACCCTGTTTCGAGTGAGGCGTTGTGCCTATACTGTACACTCATTTAATGACTGTACTACACACTACACAGTCTACCATAGTATGGTGGTACTCGTTTTACGTCACTCATTATGTAAACATCCTTTTGCTGCGGCCTGCAATGATGTGGATAGGGTACTAGAGTGTTGCAGACAGGAGATAGTAAGCGCTAAGCCTGATATATCGATAATCATCATTAAACGTCCAACAAAACTCTTTCTATTGAAATCATAATTACAATATGATCATGAAGTTTACTATGGCTAGCTGATGATCATCTTGTTAACGGCAATGCCATGCCCCCTCAAAGCTATATAAGGCGATGTACTTGATATCGACCAGACAAAGTGCTCTACTGTCGATGGGTATAACGTTGAAAGAGAATTTGACAACCTTGTAAATAATTTCATTCTTGACTGGATATCGATTTCGTTTAATAACCATCTAGTGGTAGTTTAAGTTAATCGATTTATCTTGATTTTGAAGTAGTAGTGGCTTATCTAAAAGTGTTCAACTATTGTAATAGACAGTAGCATCGATATAAATAATAGAATAGTCAGGGTTATCTTTTATCTTACATTGCAGTTGCACTAGATTACTGTAGGAATAGTTATTGTATAGCTAGGTCAAAAAGCCAAACACTGCAACATGATTGACTTCCGTCAAGACATGATAATGATGTTACTACTATCCTTCCTACTTCTTACATCAAGTATCAATGGGAATCAAGATGGCGATACGAATTTGCACCCAATACGTCGTTTTAAAAGATCGGGCTTTAATGTTACATCAGTCTATAACTTTACAGGTATGCAGGCTAAAACGGAATACAACAAAATTCCCCAGGCTTGCTGTAGAACGCAATCGTACTAATTATTGCATAATTGGAGCCTTTCACTCTATTGTAAACTAATAGTAGAACATAGATAGTCCATTAAAAATGACAGTAATGTTAGGGTTCTTGTACGATAAAATACATATGTTACCAATAATTTACTATTATTTACTCTTAAATCGGATTTAAAAAATCTCATTTATAGTTGTACAATAGGATAATACGTGTATTTTAACTGTAGGTTAAGTGCATTATTCAAAGATTTCTAACATCGAAATTGTATTTTACTAGTTCCACCGGTTTACTATTCTCACTGCAGCTTTGATAATGGTACTTGTGGCTGGAATCAATTACAAAACATTGATTTCTTTGATTGGACACGTCTCAATACACGCACTCCTAGTTCTACTACAGGACCTAATCATGATCATACTCAAGGCAACAGTAAGTGCGAGCTGCCATTAATAGTGCAACGTAGTAGGTACCTATCTTATTCTATCATGTGAAAATAATCGACATACTTTCAAGCATTAACTGATTTAATAAATGACTTAAAATAAGTTTCTTACCTATTTTAACTTTAAAACAATGCTTTTCCTTGATTACTTTTAACACAGGCTCTGGCTATTACATGTATATTGAAGCAACACAGAATAAACATGGCCAATACGCCGATTTAATTAGCCCTCCATTGTTGTTATCAGCTTTTGGCTCTAGTGTCCAGGTAGGAAATCATTAATAAATCAAGTTAGGATCGACTTAGACGGCAGTAAATGTCTCATTTTTCTGTCGTTCAAGATCGAAATTAGGCATAATTTACGGTTAAGATGTATCGGAAGGCCAGTTCGTGAAATTTTCTAAAATATTATTTTTGTTAATTAATTTATGTAGGTATCATTTTACTACTACGCTTACGGTGACAACTTGGCCGAACTTAGTATCTACGTGATGTATCCGCGATATGAGAGCGCCCCTATATTAATAAAGAATATGACACTAGTTTCTAGACAAGCTTGGATATTAGCTGTTATTCCATTTAAACCGAAATATAGCACTTACCGAGTGAGTATTAACCAACCGATTGCAAATACGAATAGAAGATAATGCTAGAGTATCTACAACTGACAGTACCAATATGATCAGTATCTTGATTAGAGCCAGTTTTCATGTATAGATTTTCTCACTTAATTACGTAATGAAATTGTATACTTGAAATTATTTTGGAAGCCGATATATTACTCTCTCTACAAGCTGATACATATTCGATATTACCGATAATATGCCTATAGTAAGATGACTCACTTGTTGAATAATAATATTGACATTATTTAATAGATCTTATTTCGTGGAGTTATTGGCTCTACATACTCTAGCGATATCGCTATTGATGATGTTTCTGTTACTCCTATCGGTGAGCGACGGTAGTCATAGGTTATTTTGGTGGATACTTTAGCTTCGCAACAAATAGCCACGCGTTAATTTTTCAATTTTCAATGCTGCAATCACTTCACAGAAAGGTCTTGCTATACTGGTAATGGCGAATTTTATCATGGAACGATTAGGACAGCTGTTGGGGGACTCTCGTGTGAACCTTGGAGTCTATTCAATACTACCTTTAATAATCAAACTGGAAATAATTTTGTTAAAAATTACTGCCGTAACCCTATCGGAATGGTTCGAAATCGGCCTTGGTGCTATACCAACTCGACCACAGGCCAATGGAAATACTGCAATGTAGAAAAATGTATTCGTCTTCCGATTTCTGGTTCAACCTATCCCCTTGGAAGTTAGTGCATGAGTTATTCACTTAAAGTTAATATAGACTTGCGAAAGTAATATTTCAATATTTTTACATCCGATGAAATATGTCCATTCGCTCATTTTAAACTTCTTATCTCATATGGCAATCACTATTACAACAATTATTGCTCGCACTACTTTACAATGATAGTTGTCACGGACTTGTTATAAGATTAATTTTTGTTTTAAGGTCGGGTTCCCATGGCATTCGTAGCCAATGCACGAGTAATACCTTATTTAGGTCGAGTGGTCGTATATCATGATGGTCAATGGGGCACTATCTGTAATGAAGGTTTAACAGATTTAAAAGTCGAATTAATGTGCCAAAGCTTCGGTTTTGCAAACTCTGGAATTTCGACATGTACGTTTTATAGCGGCGAAAAGCGATTCTATAACCTATACACTGTAGGCACATTCAATCGCCATAGGGCATAGAAAGTTCGCTGAAACTGTATTACATTAAAATTGAAGAAACTCGCATACTACATCGTAACCCAAATTTTATTTTTGCTGGTATTTATTTACACAGATAGTGGAAGGAAGAGCAGCGGACTAGTTTGGATAAACGCCTCCAATATCAACTGCGACCCCTCTATGTCAACTATACAAAACTGTGATTTCAATCCATGGGGTAGCTCCTGTTCAACTGATCTTGATACTTGGCTTATTTGCCGGTCTAAAACAGGTAGCCTATCACATTATGACCAATAAGATTTCTACTTTGATATTGTTACTTTCTAAGATACGAGTTTAAATGCAAAAGAAATAGGATTGAGATTCCGCTAGTAAATTATGAAAAATTTGTAGATCTAGTTAGTGATACAGGTCATGTATGATAAAATGGCGGTGATACTGTTTTTTATGTTTCATTAATTCATGAAACATTAACAATCATCGCTTAGTAATTATTTACTGACATTGATTGTTTAAGTTATCTTAATGTCTAACGAGTTATAAGCTGCAAGTGATATAAAATGGTGACGCATTGATACAGGACAACACCGCAATTTATTAGCCATACACAAAACTATGAAAATTAATGATTTATTTGTATAGAGAGCAGTACCTCTTTTTCGCCTTTGTCATTAGCTCTTTGAATAAGTAACTTGATATTCTATGCGTAAAATCAATGACCAATGTTGTATTCTATCCAATAGCTACAGTATCGCCATCAACAATTCCTAGAAAGTCATACGATTTAAGTTTGATAAATAGAAAAAACACAACGACTGGTATTATCTACGCCAGTACCAGCGAAAATGGGTACCGGCATGGGGTCATCTGTCCTCGATCACGGGATATCAACGATGCTGATGTTGCTTGTCGACAGATGGGTTACCTTGGCGCGTATTCTTATTACAGTAAGTGAGAAAATATTGTATAAATACACATGGAAAAGCCGATAAAGATATACTGCTATGGTTAACTCGTCAATTTTTAATCACCCAATTTCAGTTAACGTCGACAGCACTGCGACACAATCAACGTTGATTAACTCCATCAATTGCAAAGGCTACGAAAATTCAATCGAATATTGCCAAGTAACGGAACCAACAACCTCCAATACTTGCAACTATAATGATATGTTCGCTGTTTCATGCAGACCTGCACAAAAATCTTACAGTTAGTACTAGCTTGCGATAAAGTCCAAAATGTTTCTTGTTATCATAAAATCACGATGCAATATACGAGGAATTATAAAGGTGTGCTCTTATTCCAATATCTAACGGTTTTCTACGGTTACAGCAACCTCAAACAAGCCTTCAAACTGTGAATTTCTTCATGGACAATGTGGATGGAAAGCCAATGGAAATCCAACATGGATATGGTATGGTTCTTACCGAAAATATACTCAATTGGATAAATGTAAGATCTATTTATTTATTAATGATGTATCCAGCTAGTATCTGATTATCCAATTACGAAGCGACTAATGCGATTATCATGATCTTTGATAGATGAATTTTATATACAATTTATAAAGCCAGCAGGCTACACAAAACCAATAAAAGCTGTACTAACTAGCCCGTATTTTCAACGAAAACAATCTGCAGTTTATGTAAGACCTTGCTATGTCAGCGCTATGGTCGTACTCCTATTCCTAATGAAGATAAATCTAACTTACTTTCTGTACGAACTTTTTTCAGGTTTCGTATTACTATTATTTAACGAGTAATGACTTTGACAAAATAACGACAAGATACGGATACAAGGGATCTGTGTATACTTACAGCGTATACACATTCTATGTACCACAACGAAGTCTATACCGTTGGTATTATTCACGGTCAAGTTACTTCTATCCAAGCCGCGACTCATCATTTAAAGTAAATATGCGTACATTGCTACGCTATGAAAAAACATGATTTTAAAACTAGTCGAAAGTCGATTACGACTTACGTTCTGAAAATAAACAAAATGCATAACGTACATTAGAATACAGCAATAACAAACTAGTTCAATACGTATCTTTGAAAACACTTGCAATATTGTATTATCCTAAATCTTAAAATAGATTGAAATCGTCTGCCAGTCAAAAAGTACGCCTGGAAGTTCATCAGTGGGTGCTATAGGGCTAGATAATCTTTATGTGCATGGCGTAGATGACGAGTCCGGTAAATTACTTGCAATGTCTTTACATCGATTAAAAATATTTCATTAACAAGGGCTTCTGATTAAGTAAATGGTATAATCAATTTTAGGTTCAGGTCTATCTTCAAGTACTGTAGCCCGTATAGTAATTGGCTGCAGCGTAGGCTTTGGAGCATTAATAGTATATGCGATATTCTCTTACGCTGCAAAGAGGAGACGAAATCGCGCTGCTAGAAATGTTTCTCGTTCAGCTACGAGCAGATCGCGTAGAAACAATCTATCTTCTAGTGGAATAACTAGGCTAACATCAGATGATAGTAGTTCAGCTCATGATCCGATGAATTTTAGCTCTCCGGTACCGCCACCAAGTACGCATAACCTAACTTTCTAAAATGAAACTTTAAATTTATAGTTATTACAGTAAGGAAATCTTTATTGCACTATAAAGTCTAGTAAAAATATTCAAGAATCAATATTCTTTAACTAGGTGGTAACCAATTTATGCTAACAAATACTATAATTTTAATTATTATGTAAAGTAATCATATAGGTCCTGACCTTACTATACTATTGCATCAATTAAAATATGAAATTTAACTAAGACAATTTTACTTCTCTTATTTGAAAAACTCAGGCTATCCATCCGTAGTGAGCGACCAAAATACAGGTAAAATCTTTATAATATATTATTTCTTTATCTATTCCTTTGTATATGATGTTACCCATAGATGAAAATGTTACTTGTCTTAAAAGATAGTTAACCTTATAATCTAAACTGTTATAATCTTTGTAGGCGATCCAAATACATCCCAAACTTCGGCCTCAGGTAAAATATCATAGATATGTGAAACAAAATATTATTGGCCACTGATATAATTGCGATTGATTAAATTATTTACTTTACTTAATCAGGAATTGCTACAGCTAGTGGAAATTCGCAAAATAATGATTCCAATTATCCAATGAACTCGAGTGCTCAGACACAATATGCAAATCCTGCAGGTATTGATAATAAGAAAGCGATTATTCCGGAATCCATCTTAACAAAAACTCTAAACTCCTGACGTTATTGAATTTTTCTTTTAGCAAAATTGCCGCCTCCACCATCCTATGATGATTCATCATTTATCTAATCAATCAGATATATAAAGCACTATGGATTCGATCTTTAGGAATGAGCGATATAGTGCTACAACGAATAGAAAAATAGAATTTCAATACTGGTTATGTCTAATATTGTTCTAACGCTAGTATTACTACTATCATTTAGTTCGTTATTAGAATCCTAGATATGTTAATATTCTCAATGCTTAAAACTGAGAAATAAGTTAAAAACTGCATTACCTAATTGAGCGTGCGAATATGAAATATTTCACTTGCTTATGAATATTTGTATGGCATGTATATATGTTCTCATATTAGGATGATATTAATACATTTTTATAAGCAATCATTGTGCTTTATAGTACTTACGGACTTTTTAATGAATAATAAATGATTATAACTTGACTGTAAAATTTCAACTTAATTATCTACTGAACTAGACTAGAGTAACGCTTCCATAGTATCAGCACTATTACATGATAATTTTGTGCATTAATTCATAAAATACCAGTAATAGTAGCCAATACATCGATATTTTATATGAATAACCATGTTAAATATAAATTTAATACAGTAATATGAAGCCATGAGTTTACTACCATTAACTCATTCGTTTCTGACGACAACTCAACTGTGCCATAACTACCAAAAATTACTATTAACACTAGTTTTTCTAACTACTGACCTTGATATCTTACCTTTAGGCTACAAGCGTAGTCTGCAGTACATGGCTATTTTATGAAATCTATTTAACTAATTACATTTTATGAATAAATTGTGGCTTGTAGTAGAAATTATTGAATATAAATTAACATTACCATATTATCGCTTTTCTCTATCTAGGATCACCATATGATAAACTTTACGGTCTACAAGATATTATAATCATAAATCAATAATAAATTTATCGCTTTCTTATCTATAGAAGATACTAAAGTTTAAATCCTTTAAAAAGTTTATGACATTTATTCGCCGGTTATAAAATAATATTTCTGTAAGCCAATTTACAGTTTCACTTGCATAACCTTAAATGCAATTGCGAAAATGTTAGAGTCATGACATAAAGAATATAAACAAATATTAGATATCTACGATAATGCACGCAATTAATTTAGTGTGTTATAACAGGTCGTTATAAATTGACATATTAGAGGTACATAATAATCATGCTGTATAAGAATCTATCTATGTTAAAAGAACAAATTCTATGTACAGTATAAAGGCCTAGCACTTGTAAGAAATACGAAAATCATTTACAGTAGAAGTTTGTACAGGAATATCTAAAGTACGGTGGTTAATAGTTCTTTTGTAAATGAGGCACTGTTGCTACGAAAATTTATGTCACTTAAGGTAGTTCCATATAGAAGAAAGGAAAGCAATCGCGAAAAAATATCAGAAATCAAATGCATGCACATCCACGTATGTCATTTTGCGATATTAAGTATACAGTAGGAGCATATTAGCTGACAATTGCAAATATGTTAGGGAGACACAGTAGAACGTTATGCGGCTAGTTCTTGTAAACCAATTAAACCAGTTTAATATAAGCCAAATACTTGCAAGAAATATTACTGCACTTAAGGAGCAGAAATCGCATATTTTAGAAATATCTATTCCCAGCTAATACTGTTCCATATAAATATAGTGCTGACATGGAATAGTCGTAATTTCTTACTTCTCTATCCTATGACAATCGCTTAATTTATGCATTGAAAATAATTGTCGTCAGGATATATAGTTTAGCAGCCATTATATTATTTCACTTCCTTGTCTTAAGTAATAATACAGCATTCTTTATTCAGTAAAATAACTCCTCCCAGTTCCTACAGCTACATTGTCCATTAATTTGTACCATCGCATTTCCGACACATAACTATGTACTACTGAAACAGGTTTATAAGCACATTCTAACACTGTTTATTACATAAAAATTAGTTACTGCTATGCCCGTATATTGGTTGTCTCAGACTCCGTTCGGGATAATAATAACGCAGTACAGTACATTAACAATATGTTTCACAAAGAGTGTATGTGTAATGGATAGTATATAATTTATATAATCAATTCACGCTTATACTGTATGATTCGATATTCATCTGTTGATATTTCGATGGTATGACGAATCAGCAAGTACTGAAGTAGTCTTTGTAAGAACACTACTTATCATATAATTATAGCTTTGGCGCAGTCCTTAGGTAGACTTGCTACCTGTTAAGTTGAAAAAACGTGAAACTGTCTGCAATAGAATGATCCGACTCAGACATTAGGTGTGCCATGGTGATCAAACACTTACTAATTGGATCAATGTTGACGATCAACTGGACTGCCAATTTAGAATTCGTAATTTAAACGATCACTTGGTAAATCTATGGAGTACGTGATGGGCAGCTCATCACGAAAAATAGTCATGCTATGGTTTATATCAATGATAACACTTTCTGCCAGCATTATTGTTGAAGGAGTTCATGAAAGCAACAGATGTCAACAATATCGTGAGAAACGGTGCCAATTTAATATTTCATCCGTTTATAGCTTCTCTGGTACGTGTTCGTCAAAGATTAATTTTTTCAGATTAGTTCGTGTCCCACATTCCATCTTTACTGTCTCAAGGGGTAGATATTTCATAATAAATACAATCTCTAAGTTTCTTCGTAGTAGTACCTTGCTTGGCTCCATCAATCCGCTAGCTCAAGCAGTAAGGTACCTTACCTTACTATTAATTAAATTAAAACTAGGAACGAATTTATATTTCAGTTATTACATATTTACCGGTACTCAATCTATCTAAACGAAATTATATTCCAATAAATGAAAAGAATTTCTTTTTCATCAGTTACGAAAACGACTAACGAAATGATTCTCTTTTTAACAGTCTCTCCAGTTTATTACACTCATTGCAATTTTGATAGCGATACTTGCGGTTGGAGCCAACTGAAGAATATTGATTTCTTTGATTGGACTCGTTCTAAAGGCAGCCTTCCCAGTGCTGGTACACGATCACTGTATGATCATACACAAAATAATGGTTAGTTGCTTAGCTTAAAGTTAATATTTGACGATAGTAAACACAAGTGTAGCTAGTGAAACTGAACCGTACAAAACTGCTACACGTTCTGTTAAATATATATGTTACGGCCTACGCGTATTGGCCAACTTCGGGTTTTGGCCGTAACCTATGTTATACGTGCTCGAGCAAGTAAAATTGATATTTACGATTCTTTAATGAATCTTTGACAATTAGAAGTAATCCTATGGAAAAATTTAGAATAATTTAAGTTTGTATTATAGGTTCTGGTTTTTACATGTACATTGACGCATCGGTAAACAATTACGGAACTTATGCGGATTTGATTAGTCCACCGTTACAATTATCGGCAGTTGGTGATAAAATAAGGGTCAGCAATCCTATTCGTACAGAAATTGTACTTATGATTGTTTTCAATCTCTTACTAACAAACAAATAAACTTAAAAGCGATTGATGAAGATGAATTGATAGTTAATTATTGTAATGCTATCGTAATCGACGATAGTCGTAGATCGCAAGTGTAAAAGAATTTTATGGCATGGCTAATCGTATGTTTGCGTTCATGATCTTACACATTGTCCAATTCATTTTATAGATTTCATTTTATTATCATGCATTTGGTTCAAGCTTGGGAGAGCTTCATGTCTATGTTGTATATCCTAGGCACGAAAACGCCTTCCATGTACTTCATAAGATTAAATCGAACTCTATAAATTCTTGGCGGCTGTATACAAAGAGTTTCACTCTCAAATACAGTACCTATCATGTAAGTAGCTAATAACAAATATGAATATGAGGACTTTGCCATGTCCATTTATATTATTTTTATTTAAAATAATGTATAAGCTCTGTCTTCCATAACTACGCAAGATTTGAAACTTAATAAATAAATATATTCAGAATATGTCACTAGCCTATAAATACTAAGTACTAATTAGTAAACTCTTATCGATCGTTCAATTTCTATCGCATTTGATTTCCATTGCTTACTATAATGATGAAAAGATTTTACTTCGAGGAATGGTTGGATCGACCCACTCTAGTAATATTGCTATTGACGATATCAGCGTTTTATCAGTTGGTAAGGCTATAATTAAGTGTCGGATTATGCATCTACTCCATATGCCTAAGTTTCGTTACTGATCAAAAAATAAATTCTTTTTCTATCATCAGAAACATCTTGCTACACCAGTCATGGTGAGTTTTACCGTGGAACAGAAAATTACGCCAGAAATGGCAGCGTTTGCCAAAATTGGCATTCTTTTAATTTGACCACTAGCTACGCCACTGCTAACCATTTAATGTCAAACTATTGTCGGAATCCCCTTGGATCGACTCGAAATCATCCATGGTGCTTTACAGATACTTTAACACGTCAGTGGCAATACTGTAATATTTCTAGATGCAATCCATTGCTCATTCCTACTCCAGCCTATCCGTTGGGAAGTGAGTAAATGGATACATGATTAATAGAATCGTCCTTGATTTTAAGATCGAAAAGGGCCTATTAAGCATAATACTCGTATACTACAATTTTTATTCATTTCTATTTAATAACATTTTACTTTACTTCTTCTCTAATTAAAGCTCCCTATCCGTTAAGTTTTGTCCACAATTTAGTAGAACAAACCAATGTTGGTCGAGTAGTTTTGTATCATAATGGACAGTGGGGTACTATATGTAGAGCTGGTTTAAAGGCCTCTACAGCTGCTCTCATGTGCCAGAGCTTCGGAATTGGCACCGTCGGACAACTAACGAGTATGTAATTTTACTTGAGGCATGCAATGTTTCTTGTGAATCATTAACAGTTACGGAGATCATTACGCGTTACCATCATTACAATTAAACCTGTCTCGTGCTTTCCATTACAACTATTACAGCTAATAGATATATAGGTGTTGATCCTGTTTGGCTAAATGGTTCCAGTATAAATTGTCAAAATTCGACATCCATATCGGCCTGTACTTTCAATCCTAGGGGCAGTATATGCCCTAATACATTGGATGCATGGATAGCTTGCAGTTATGTAGCAGGTTAAAACTAATATAAGTTCAAAAATGTCAAAAATAATTCATGATTTGATATGGCAGTTACCATACCAGATAGCTAAATATCTTTTAGAAGCTATAAAGGAGATAACTGTTGTAGGTGCTATTAGTATACGCGCTTTGCCTATCATCAAATAAGTACGGTTGAAAAACTGGGAAGTAACAAGCTAGGATAGTAAATTAATTACCAGGATTTCATATTTTGACCTACTATAATTTTCTCGTAACGATATGCATTATAACCATCTAATTAATAATACTCTAGCAGCACTAGTTTTACGATCCTAATTCTATACAACTATCGGCTTACGCGCGCCAATTAGTTTCTTGCTGTCGTTTAAAAATGACTAGGTATTAGTGAAATATTTCGAAAACAAATGTGCACCTAATTGTGGATTATGTTAATATAAAATAATGATATGAGCATGCCAAACGATCACCTCCGCTTTCTAGAGATTATATATAAGCACTTTATTAATCATCAATTTGCTAATCTAAAACTTACCTTAAAGATATCAACTAATACACGAATTTTTGTATAACATCTCGTGATTAACTATTGTGAAAAAATTAAAGCTTCTACGAGGTATAACATATCACTTTCTAGTGGAGGAAATGATACTAGTGGCGTTATTTATGTTGGAGTTAACGATCGATATGGTATCATCTGTTTTTCGGCTTGGAATTTAAATAGTGCTGATGTCGCCTGTCGACAAATGGGATACATTGGAGCCTATTCTTCTAATGGTACGCACTATGTATAACGGATTATTGATATGCATCGGAAATATAAGTTTTGACATTGTCAGTTATATCACTTAATTTCAGTTACGACTAGTACCTACCCAACGAGATCGGTATTGATCGATTTAATTGAATGCAATGGCTACGAAAGTTCAATTGGCCAATGTAAAGCATTGATAGTTTCATCATCCTCTTCCTGTCTTTCAACCAGTATTGCTACAGCTTCATGCAATTCCGGCCAAAAGTCATACAGTGAGTTGATATTGTAACAAAGGATAGCCTATCCTAAATTATGCTTGTTTCCTAGATAAAAATGAAGTGATTGGGTTGCCCATTAAACAGCAGCTAGTTAAAAATTTACAACATAGGATATTTTATGTACGGCAGACAAGTATTACTCATGTTTGCATCTTTTAGCAGAACGTAATGCTATAATATTTCATGCCTCAAAGTAAAATAATTTACCCGCATAATACAGGCATGATTTTTTATTACAAGTAATAAACAATTACAACTCTGCCATTGCTGTTAACTTGTTGCTGCAGTAAATATTATAGTAAATGTTGCCTAAATGGATAGTCTATACTTGATTATATTATCACAAATAATAAAATTCTATGCTATTTGAAAGCAATACGTTAGCATTACAATACAAGATGCAGTTGTTTACATGAATTATAATGTAAGGAAATAATGTACAATGTTTTTAATTATACAATGATTTAAGCAATGATAACACTATGCTTATAGATCAGTAACTGTGTAGATAAATACATGTTTATCGTATGCGTATAGAGGAGATTAAGATGCAATTAGCAATAACTACCAAGGATACATTATTGACAATTTCGCCATATAATTATCGTTACAGCAAGCAATAATAAACCTTCCAATTGTCAGTTTGAGTATGGTTTATGTGGATGGAATACTACTGGAAATCCAACATGGATTTGGCATCCTGCTGGTACTGGACGTTTTGCAGGATTCTCAAATGGTAAGTTATAACTCAACTCTATTACCTAGCTATTTAAGCAGGAACTGATAGGAAGCAAAAACGTATTCAATTCATATTAATAGATATGTCGTACTTACAACTTGTAAGGCCACCTGGTTATGCAAATCCAATTACAGCCGTATTTAGCAGTCCACCTTTCGAAAGGATAGATACTAGTGTCTATGTAAGAACTTCGAGCCTTGGACTACAGTGTCGTAACAAAGGCACATATCTAACAGCAGTCTTGCATAGGAAGTTAATTTAATTTAATTCGACTCTAATTTTAAATTATTTCAGATTACTTTTCGGTACATTTTGAATAGCCATTTCTCAGGAGTGTTCGAAATCCAATATGCCATGTTAACGATGCAATATTTTGATCGCATTTACCACAATGCTTTTACATCGGCAGATTTCAATACATGGCTATCTGTTACGACGATGACATTTAGGCCTAGCAGCTCATCGCTATTTCGCGTAAGTTTGTTTACAGTTGCCCCATTTATAGGATTCAGTTGACTGACCATCAATATTACATAGCCGTACCGATAGATGAAATGAATGTTTTAGCCTTATTTCCGTTGATATCCTCATTTTTGTGGATTGAACTATTAAGTATTATGCTTCCATTGCAAATTGCAAACTATAAATCAATGCTAATTCCATTTGATTTTTAATTATCGGTTCAAACAATTAGATTAATTTCTTTTATAAGTCACCTCCTACGTCTTCCAACTCCGAAATTAGTGTCATAGGACTAGATGATATTAGAGTTTATGGCGTCGATGGCATTCATCCTTGTACGTTGCTACTTATTCCCATCCTGACTATGATTGGAATATATCGATAGATAATTAAAGTGTTTTCATTTCGTTAACCGTTTTCTTTGATGTCTGATTTCTGCTACTATTCCTATACCATATTAATTTATTATTGGTGATTCGAATATGGCAAATATTTATTGATACATAATCACTTTGGTTCATTACAGCTCATGCTGCACATAATTTAACCCGCCTTGGAATTGGCTGTGGAGTTGGATTGACAGTCCTCATGTTTATTATTGCTTACGCCTATGTTGTTAGATATAGGCGTAGGCTTGAACGGGGTGGTAGAAGCACGATAGCAAATGTCAATTTAAATGGTCAAGGTGAAAACGGAGAAGTAACAGCTGATATTCATTTCAATGGCGCCAGCATGAATTCTGTGCAAAATCTACCACCACCAAGTAGGTTTGAAGACTTGTGTTGACTTTAGCTCGAAATTTGCGATTATCTTTTACTAGCTATCAGCAAATAAAATTATCAATTAGTATGACTGTACTGTAGCAAGTGGATTTAAAAAGTCTTTCGCTAGCGAGTAGGTTTGACGACGACGACTTGTGTTGACTTTCGAGTGTAAATTAGCGACTATCGTTTACTACAGTAAGTAAGACTATCCTGTACTGTAGCAATTGGATAAAATAATAATCTACCACCACCGAGTAGGTTGGATGCCTAGTGATTTTAGATCCTCAATTTGTGACTATTGTTTACTAAATTAAATTATCACCTAGTATGGCATAATGTTGCAAGTGAATGAAGTAATAAGCGAATGTAAAAGTGCAATATTGATCAAATGATTAATATCCTATTTGAATTGTACTAGGTTATCCAGCTGCTATAAATTCTCACGCCACTGGTAAGTTACAGTAATTGCAACTACTTTTGATAATTAATTTATCATTTAAAAAATTTCGACTAGAACTGCTGTCTACTACTTTTCATGTAAGCTTATCCTGTAATTCTACCTTTACGCTTATTCCCATATCCATTAGGTGAAACGCTATCTTCGCAATCAGGTTGTGATAATAACGATCACAACAGCGAGTTGGGAACCAATAATTTAAGATATCAAGTTGATTCCAATAGTCAATTATCAACGAAAAGTCCTGCAGGTAGTTACTATACTGTATTTTATTAACAATCATTTTCTACACGTGCGAGTATTTTAAGTGGATAGAATAGCGTAGCTTGTCTTGGTGAAATTAATTATAGTACAGTACAGTATATAATATTTAAAATTTTTATGGCTAGACCCATCGCTGGCACCTCCAACCTACGATCAGGCTGCGTCACGTCAATAACAAGCATTCCATCAATTACTTCTGCCATATCGCTTTGGAACTTAACAAGTATCTCTCCGTTGTGGAGATTTTCCAATCTATCCAATCGTTTTTGGATTTAATCAGTGTCACAACGTCGTTTGCAACAATCGGATTCCCGTTCCACACTTATCCTACTCTCCTCTGTCCTACAGTAAAACTGCCACCAGGCGTCACTACTCGCTCCACTTCAGCGAAGGACCTCAGTCAACAGTAAAGGCGGACTAGAAGCGTCTGGATAAATTTACTGAACTAACTTTATTAGGTCTCCGTATTTTCCTCCTCTCTAGCGAGGTAAACTACAACCTCTTATATACTTGTATCAAATCTACACCTTTTCCACCTGTTAATTATTCTTATACATAACTTAGTCTTTTCTATAACTTTGTAATCCTATTAATTACTATCGAACAAATATGTGATAATTGATATTATTATGCGCTAATAATATTATAGCTCCAATTAACAATTTAAGATCTAACAGATTCCCTACAAGTGTGACAACCGCCATTTGGTTATTACACGTCATTGGCATATTAAGTACCTTACTTCTACACATTCGTTAATGGAAGTCCATTAACGATTGAACCTCACAATATTAACAGATCATAATATTTATGATTATCTAATCGTAACCGTCTACTTCTACTTCAATAACATTATCACATAATATCTTAAACCGTAACAATCAGTAATGACGTGGATAAATTACTGTACTATACTTATTTCCAAAGGTTGCTACCCTATTACTGTATATTATCTTAAAGTAATTGAAATATCATAGTGAAATTGCCTTTCTATACAACTAAAGTTGATGAAATCTATGTGTAATCCTTTTACTATGTGAAGAGGCTACTGTACAATGTTAAGTTCATCATTATTTCATCAGCATTTGTCATATTTACGCCCATACAATTTTTGCAGCATAACAGGTGCTCATTTGCCATCGTCATACTTTGCATTATTAGTATTAGTATTGTATTATTAAGAGTTGGTTAATCTATTTGTTCAACACTATTTAATTGATCCATCGTAATATGATGGCGAATACTCGTACAGTAATCAGCTAAACATCTACTCACAACTAACATTAGTTATTTATTCAACCAAATTACCAAGTATTGTTATTTATTATACAATTAACCGCACAAAAATATTCTTTTTTGCGGGATTATTCTTGAACACGCTGTATACCGTATTATCAACAGTAAATAAATAAATAAATAAAATTTCATGTTGCAGTGGGTGTTTACTTACCACTGGTATTATGAAGGTTAACGATAAGATTAGATTAGTTACGTTTAATTAATTAAGGCGCCATCGAGGCGGCAAAAGAAGAGATAATGATACTACTGAATTCGTGTAATGACTTAAAGATTCGTTCATCGTCTGAATGAATGCCTTTAGAGAGAACCTGGCATTCTGTTTTAACTCTATTCAATAAGACGAAGTTGTTTAGCTAAGACTTCTGACACTATCGTACATTTTGATCAAGGCTAATATTTATTTATGGATTCCGCGAGAGAGAGAAGCTGCTATCTGTCGGTAGTCACAGATTACTGTACGCTATCGATGGCGTCGAATAAATCATCTGATCAAATCCTTCAATGATAAACATCCAATTCCACCGATTGACGGTTTACTATGGTATACTGTATTTATATTTAATTATGGATTCGAGGAGGGAAGGAGGTAGCTATCTGTCGTTAGTCTGATAAGTGATGACAGTAGGTTATCAACCGTTATCCAAGGCGACTGGATTGACACAATCACAATTTCTTCCTACTAAATCATCTGGTCAAATCCTTCAATGATGAACATCCAACGTCTACCTTTTCCGAATTAATGAATCTTTATCGCTGTATTGCAGGCGAGGAAACATGTCAAGCAAAATTCTCACCGACGCACAGGAATAGAAACTTTGCAAGTCGCTACCATATCTCAATCCTATATCCTTAGGGTCATTTGCTAAGTACATCATCCACTTCTATAACTCTTTGTCCATGATAGCATACAAGAAATTCAACGACAACATCCTCTCCATGTTGTTTTCAAGAATGATAAATTAATTACGATGCTATTGGTATTTCATTCACGAAACAACATGGTGCATGTCTGCAAACGCAAGTTGGACATGGCAGTGTTACACAGTCAATTGCTACTTGCCAATTTGAGTTGCCATCATTCGTTTCCATACTGCAATAATCATAAGATAGCAAAGTATTGCTATTGCTCGTTGCTAATGCAAAGGTCAATTTTAATTTGATTATCCACTACAGCATCCAGTCATGATTGCAGATAACAGTAGAAAGGCGTCAAGTAGCCATGAGGAAGTAGCCATACTGTCTATCCTTCTTTCAACTGAACGTAAGTTGCTATTGGTATTTCATTCACGAAACAACAAGGTGCATGTCTGCAAATGCAAGTTGGACATGGCAGTGTTACACTGTCAATGGCTACCTGCCAATTTGAGTAGCCATCATTCGTTTCCATACTGCAGTAATCCTAAGATAGCAAAGCATTGCTATTGCTCGTTGCTAATGCGAAGGTCAAGAGAGGAGATCAGGATGTTACTGTCCGAAAATCTTCATGCGCACCTCCAATCTCTTTCGCACGCGGCACGCATACTGGACTGCTGGAGAATATATCAAAATAATCTTGCCATTTAGCAGTCTACAAAAGCGCCGCCTTGATCTCATTATCTGCTAGTTAGCTGCATTCCTTCTTGCTGATGCTTCCACGCCAAGTTTGAACGTCTCCAGTATTGTCGAAAGGTAACAAATTTGTTTTTAGTTTTTCATTGATTGGCAAGAAGACAAAGTAGTATTGCAGCGGCAGAATATTTTCGCCTCTTGCTTGTCTATGTCAAATGAGTTCAATATCATACCCAACAGTTAAACCCTAACCAATCTAACGGGGATCTTATTATTATTAATGTACATAAAATGTCGGATCAAGTCCAATAGACGTCTCGTCAACGAGAATAGATGGACGACTACTAATCGTATTAAATAATAAAATGTGCCATACTTGCTGTATTATAGATGATGCTATTCTGACAATTTCCCGAATCTAATGATTGGAAAGCTAAAGTTGACTTTAAAAATTATTACTTCGGATTAAGTCCGATAGACGTCTCGACAACGCACATGGATGGATGACTACTAATCGTAATGAATAATAAAAAGTGCCGTACTTGTTGTATTCTATATGATGCTATTCTGACAATTTCCCGAATCTAATGATTGGAATGCTAAAGTCGATTTTAAAAATATTTTAAACTTCAGAGAATAAAGTAGAAACATCCAATACAAATTTCGCTCGTACTCGTACATCGTAATGGAAGCTAATCGCCGCGTTCTGTTCTTGCGATGTAGTTCTGTTAAGGTCTTTCCACTCTTCAAATAATTATAGTTATTATTATAACTTATGAATATAGTTGGACCTACTATTTTGCATAAATTGAAAGGAATCATCAAGCTTTCAATAGTAATGATCAAACTAGAATGTAAAGTGTCTGCTTGAGCTAGTAATGGATTGATAAACACAGAAAAGTAAAATGGCGTTGGCGGTCTTTCATAAAATTGGTATATCGCCCAGTGCACGTGTTAGTCGTTTACTCCTTTGCTTTATCTGCTATAATTCTAAACGGTAAACTAAACAAAGTCCATCTGTATTTGTTGGTAATAATCACCCTATAATGTAAAGTGTCCTTGAGCTGATAATGGATTGACAAAATAGAAACGTAAATGTTGTTGGCGGTTGTTCTTAAAACAAGGAATATATCGCCAGGAAACCGTATGGCTCTAGACTTATCAACAACGTAATTAATCAATTGCATTAAACGGGTAAATTAATAGAAAGTCCAAATCATGGCTTTATAGCCAAGTTGTCAAGTACCATCAAATTGTTCCATAAACTTACCTTTAAGAATTTAAAAAGCAAATTACCGTAGTAAACTACGATTTCTTGCAAAATGGAAAGTCGGCGACGTCCACTTTGTCTACAAACTTTAAAATCGAAATTTTTATTCGAGAGTCCAATCTTAATTAGTTATACTTCACTTGCATTTTTGGATTCTTTGCCAGGACAAGAAAAGACAAAAACCATAAAGCGATTAAGGAATTAGGTCTAGCTGTAATAACATTAACTAAAGCATGGGTTGGAAGATGAAATTCAATTCAAGGATCATCCTTTTTGCCACCTTGTGCATGATATTGTTGCACTATATCGTCGAAGGTTTACATGCTCGACGGCTTCGATATCGACAAAATCACGGACTCCATCGTAAGCGAAGATGGCCTACTGTTACTTCTTCCGATTATAACTTTGCAGGTACATATGGACAAAATCGTTAGTGTCCTTATTTGAGTCTTCTTTGATGTCTGTCTCACTGGATAATAAAACGAGCATTCCCATGCATGAAATAGAAAGAAGTTAATTGGATGTATTTTAATCAAGCCTACTCAACGTTTTCAATCCTTGTCTAGCACAACCGGTTTTCTACTCTATCTGTAACTTCGACCTTGATACGTGCGGGTGGAATCAGCTTAAAGTCATCGATTTTTTAGATTGGGAACGAAAACTTCATCGACAGGAACATTCCCCTAGTAATGGTAAGTTGAACTTATATTTACCATCATTCCGACCTGGATTTCACTATCGAATCAGTTTTACTTGGAGAAAGAGCGCTGTTCACTATTTCATGATCATGTTGGCAATTTCAATTTTTATTGCTCAGGTACGAATTATTTTATGGCCATTCAAGAGATGGAGGCCTATGTTGATGAATATGCCGATCTCATCAGCCCACCTTTGCTGCTGACTACGAATACTACTAAAGTGAAGGTGAATAGGATGATCATAAGGTCGAACCTTTATATCCACGTTTACTCTTGTTCGTTCAAAACTAAGGCTAAGAGAATAGCTGTATCATCATTTAAAATTATTGACACTGTCTTGCTGTAGCCATCTTATGCTGCTGAAGCCCAATGGTGCTTGCTTCCCTTAATGAATGCCAACATGCTCAAATTTTGTGGCAATATTTTCACTTAGGTTTCCTTTTCCTACTATGCAAATGGAAATTCCCAAGGTAGAGCTGACATCTTTGTTATGTACCCTAGATATGATACCAAGTTGTATTTAATAGGCAGAGTAACTCCCACTTCCCAACGAAATTGGAGACATTACTCCTGCCGGAGTTTCACACCAAAATATAGCCGATATCGTGTAAGTAATTTAATAGAAACATTTGGACTTGAGGTCGACAAAACTAAGGAATACAGTGGAAATAATTGTGAAAGCGAAATTTTAATAATTTTCATGTAAAAAATGACGCTAGTAGAACAAAGTTCTGTGACCTTTCAAAGCGATGATCGGTTGAATATTGTACCAGTAAACCTGCTCTAGATCTGTACGTAGTCTATGCAATCTCTTGACAAATTAAATCTCGAAAAGCCGTATGATATCAATCTACTAGGAATATCTGTCCTGTTTAATTAGTAAAGCTTTCCCTATCGCGTAGTCGATGCAGTGACTTTGACAAGTTAAATCTCGAAAAGCCATATCATTGCAGTCTACTAGGAATATCATTGCGGTATACATGTTTCAGAACCCAATTTCTCCGGTCATGATTAGACTAGTCTACTGAAAGTTAAAAAATAGTTAAATTGTGCCCTATTCTCTAAAACGACATGCTTCAATGAAACATGGGTAGTATTAGGTACCATGGAATAACCAATTTCTATTTTGTATATCCATGCATATCATTGACTAAATCTAAGAAGTAATGTCCTTGCCATTGTCTTGAACTTTAATAACAACCTAATTCTTTACTAAATAAAGATTATTCTTCGTGGAGTTCTCAGACAAGTATCACGCGCTAATAACTTTGCAATTGATGATGTAACGGTCATCCCAATAGGTAAGCCATGAATGATTTCGATCAATAAGTCTTTGCGTATATTACCTATTTACTCGTGATATATCTTGATGACTTAGCGATCATAACAATTGATACTTCAATTTAGAAACAACTTGCTATACCAATAACGGCGAATTTTATCGGGGCTCCATCAGTACAACTGAGAAGGGCCAGCAATGCATATCCTGGAGTTCTAAATCGCTTGTGGATTCACAGTTTCACCAAACTAATTATTCTCATCCGACTTTGGTATCCAACTACTGCAGAAATGTAAATGGAACAAAACAAAAGCCTTGGTGTTATATCCATGAATCGAACAACAAATGGCAATATTGTAATATACCAAAATGTAATCCAATCCCTCCCACGGACCCGCCATATCCTTTAGGAAGTCGGCACTTTTTAAATTTGCTAGTGTCTTTTCTAATTTTTTTGCATTGTCGGTATACTGTAGAGATTGTTGAACTTTTCATAATTTTTTTATCACTTCCCAAGGTCGAAACCCGATAGCTTTAGTGAGCTACGATAGAGGTCTTCGAAATATTGGCCGATTGGTCATTTATCATGATAAAAAATGGGGCACGGTGCACAATGTTGGAATATCAGAAGCTGTTATTGGTATATTATGTAAACACTTCGGCTTTGATGCAAAAGGATCCTTGTGGAGTATGTTAAGGCTGATGGAATAGACTAGTGTAACTGTAATAATTAAGTTCTCAATTTGTGATCACATCTCTATATTACATAAATTTATGATTAGAAAATGACTCTTGGTTTGAAGTTGAAGATCAACCTGTCTGGCTGAATTCTTCTAACATCAACTGCCCAAATTCTGCAACGTCGTTGTCAGCATGCACTATAGGACCATGGAACAGCCCGTGGCGTAAATCAAGGGATATATGGATTGAATGCTATTCTGTTGCTACATCTACTGGTTAGATAATCAATAGTTATGTCGAAAAATGTATAGTAATTTCTCGCCGCTGGGTGCTGACTGATGTGATGATGTAGATGAAATCAATTGACACGTAGCGTAGTGCCAAGTAAATTTATCTTTTCTAGTTAAACATGGTATTAGCATGCTATGCAATCATACACTACAGTTCAATATATATTAATTGGCCAAAATGGTTGCAATCAATTTCTTAAATCGATCATTTTTTATGATGTTGACTAATTGGTATTAGATTTTGACTAATTCTTATTTACCGCTAGTTGCGTAATGATGAACTATTTTCATCTTTATCTATCAGCAGATTATACTACGATCAAATCTCCGCTGACTAATATGACAGTATCTCCAATCTTATCAAAGACACCTTCAACACTTATTTCTTCATATTCTACTTCATTTAGCGTTTTAGCCAAGGCATATCGGCTATCTATAATGGGTGGAAAGAATGCGACTAGCGGTATGCTCTATGTTAGAGGCAATAATCAAAATGGGACTGTCTGTTCGCCATTTTGGGATCTTAATAGCGCAGACGTTGTTTGTCGCCAAATGGGATTCATTGGCGCTTATTCCGTAAAAGGTTCGCCCTTTAATTCTATACAGCTTAAAGATTAACTAACTCATGATTATCATCGCTACGGTGATAAGCCAATAGTACTAAATACAAGTTATACATGTTGTAAATTATTATTAGTTGTTCTTCGACAATTCCCGATAACCTCATCCTTAATAAGTCGTATCGACTGCCATGGTTACGAAAGTTCAGTAAATCAATGCAACGTAAAAGCGTCCCTACATTCCACCGATTGCCCTTTGTCTGATATTGCTAGGATTTCCTGCAATGATGGACAAGAAAATTACAGTTCGTAACCGATATAGCTAATGACTGCATTTGATTAAGTTGAATTATTAATTATTTTTAAGCGTAAAGATAATTAATAAGTACCGGATTATGTACTATACCACTAAATTAAATATTTTTTAGCCAGCGCAAACAATCCCTGCTATTGTTCGTTCAGTCACGGATTTTGTGGATGGAAAAATAACGGGAGTAGGAGCTGGTTTTGGCATGCTGCCGATTCAAGGAAGTACTCTATGCTACCCAATGGTAAAGTACAAATAAACAATACTGAAATACCCATTGAATTACTTGACTTCGAATTCTGTATCCTAAAAGAAAATGTTAAATGTGACAATGTACTATTTTGATTATATGATCTAATTGGCATCTTAGATAGATCGTATATTGCATTGCTAAAGCTAGAATCATTTGACGGTCCTCTTGAAGGGATTTTAGTCAGTCCACTTCTGAAAAGAGGTGGTTCATCGATTTACGTAAGAATTCTTACAGCAATTGTTTGATCGTAGAATGAATTAGAAGACATTCAATGGATTTTTAGGAAATTAGTTGACTAATAGACGCCATCTTAATAACCGTATGTGTTGTAGGTAACTTTCCGATATTATATCACAAGTTATACTTTTGATAGCTTAGAAGTCGAATATGCAACCTTAGATGGAAGCTTTTCGACCTTGTACCGTAGATTGCTTGATACTGGTGCCTTAAATACTTGGCATTTTAGCAAGACACTTCCGCTACCCGCTGGCTTATCGCCATTTCAAGTATGTTCTTTCTTGCGGTATTTTGTCAGTAAAATAAACCATTATACATTGTGATTTGAAAATCTCACGATTTCTATTAATTACGAATTATTCATCAATGCTTTTCCAATGCTCAACAATTAATTATGACACTCGCTTCTGTTGTTAAAATATGAATTGATTTTTAGTCAATATGAAGAACAAATGACTATTTTGTTAAGTCTTTGTGGCTTTTTGTTAGATTCGATTTATTTGCAAGGCTGTAAATAATATAAATTCCTACAGAAGTGTTGTGGCACTAACTGACATGAGGATAATTGGGGCTCATTACTTAGACCTACGTGAGTTATTTTAGTAAATTTTAATTTGAGAGTTAGTGATCACTCTCCATGATATTTTCATACCTTCGTAAACTGGATTTTAATTTATAACATTGACATTATAGCGACGCCAAAGCATAGCTCTATAATTGGTATTACCGTTGGTTGCTCCATCGGTGTCATTATTATCGGTTTCCTAGTGTATTTCTTTTGGTCATCAATAAAACAGAAAAGAGATGATGGACCTTCAGTTACAAGGACTTGTCGAGCATGAAACAGTAAGCCATGTAAGGGGCAACTTGGTAGGTGTGGAACTTAGGATTAGGTACCAAGGCTTATCGAAATATGTACACCTTTTAAACTGCTTATAAAATTATATTGCAAATACGAAATAATTAAGTTTGGATAGATTTTTTAAACGCAGTCCTTTAAGCCCTCTTGTTTCTCAACCGCAAATGTTGTGTTTGATGTTGATAGAGTTGAGTTATGTTTATCAAAGTCTTAATTTTCTAATTGACTGGTGGTTCTAAGCATACAGATCAGCGGTAATGAGTTCATTCCTGAATCTCAACTCGGAAACCGTGACCAAAGTCAAAACAATTATTAAATATTACTTTGATTGCGATTGTATTAACCCATTAAAAAGTAATTTTTAAATTGTAGAATGCAGTTAAATTTTGATAAATCATGGTTTGTGTTCGAAGTTATTTGTAATTGATTTTCCATCGCGGAGTGAATCGTAGTAATAAATTATTTTGAAAATTTACAACACGTCACGCATGATGTTCATGAATTCATTGGTGCAATGTTTGCGGCAACATTATGTTTTACAATTGTCATAATCTGATATTCTATTTTAGCCAAAGTTACAACAGTAAACGAAATCGATGTGATCTTGAAATCTATAATTTGTTCAGATCGTTTAGTTTAGGACAGTAAACCGATATAATTATACCGTGTTTGCCGTCAATACTATTAATCTGGCATACACATGGCGGTGTTCCCGCATTCATTCAATGCAATTATGGTCAAGTACGTACAATTATATAGAAGTCTGCTGCAAACTAGTTAAACTGACAATATGTGTTCGTTACATTTTTAAGCGAATCCCTCAAATGTTCAAAGTAATTGAAGAATAAAATCTGCGAACTAGTTTCACTTTGTAAAAGCAATTACATCGTACCTACATCACTATATTTTCATTTACTGCGGCGTAACCGTTAATCAAAAAACAAGTTAACGCAGATATAATTTCACCTCTTAATTGTACTTTATACAGCACATGCCTAAATCTGAATACTTAGCAACATTTTTAGAGTTCTACCAAAACTTATTAGTTATTAATTTCGGCTGTTTTCTGAAGTCAATGTCAGTTATATTAATAAAAGACTATCTTAAGTGTTTCGCATAAACTGACCTACTGCTTGATAAGTCTTACTATCGCTTTACTATTTTTAATCTGACTTCTACTATAAATAGATCACCCTTTAGAAAGTGATAACTACAATATATTGTAGTACGCGTATGCGTACAACCAGGATATAAATATTGAGCACAGAATTCCATGAATTGACCCTGAAATTCATCTACTCGTAAACAAGCGTTACAATCACTAGATACTAGAGAGGTTAAGGGTTCCTTTTATCATAAAAATAGCGACCTTTATTACTCTAAAGCGCTAATATAGCTCCAACTGCCTGTATAGTCACAATTCCTCGTGGCATTCGCCAAAAACTCCTTTTATAGCCTACTGACAGTGCACCATCAGATGATATACTCCATATAAAACTGTACAGTATTATACAATACCATTAGTTTAGATAGTGTTACGTTACACCAGGTAACTATCAGAACATAGCAGTATGATTAGATGTATCAACAAGTAATTATATTTCCTTAGCAATTTATCTTATTTATTGAATTTATTAATTATTCAAGACGGCATTTGTATCGCTTTCAATTCTTCCACGAAACATCATTTAGTGTAATATAGCTGTTTGTCGAGCGAAGAATTAACCAATTACTATAACACAATTGCCAATTGAATAAAAATAAAGTCAGAAATAAATGTATACATTAATTTTATCAAGTAGATGACTAAATACGTTTTATTTAGCATAACCTTTTTCGGGAGGCAAGCATCATCACATATTCACTACAGTTGTCGCTTATAATATAAATTGTAGTTCTTGAACACAAGTAGATGCTACCCAAAACGGCCGCCGTTACCTGTTCATACCTTAATTGTAATTCAATCCGTATATGTACCAGTATTATAAATAGACTTATTAATAAAATTTCATCAATCTTAAATTTAGAGCACTTGTTTCGTAACAACATATCGGCCATGATGCTTTAATTATATTAACCGACGTAGTGACTAAAGAACTCTAGCTATATGTATAGCTGAATAAATATCAGTATTTTACAATAGAGATTAATGAAATAATAAGTTAATCAAAGTCTTTTCGATGCAAGTT